AATATACCTCTAGCTAGCTACAATGCTATCATTTCGTCAGGCAGCCTCACCCAGACTCAACCTCCAGCTAAACCCGAGTCTGCTGCTTTAAAAGATGTGATGTGTCTTATGTCCAGACCCTGAGTGAGGAGGAGGACGGTGGAGGAGGAGGAAGACAGTGGAGGAGGAGGGTGGAGTGGGCGACAGGAGCGTAGGAGAAGAGCAGGGCCACCCCTCCTACACACACACTCTCCTTCAGACTTCATGCACACAGCGTTTCCGTCCTCTGACCTTCCTCACGTATTCTAAATCTTATATTATACAATGTGCTGAACAAATAAATGTTGATTGATTGATTTTGCAGCTGTAGATTGATCTGATCTTGGTTCATTTCTGCTTTAGACCTGTTCTGTCCTGAATAAGTCCTGGTTTAACGCTGGGGATGGTTTTCTGTGAACTTATATCCAGAACTATTGTTACATTTTAGCAGAATTGGACTGTGTTATAAACAAACACCGTATATTAGGGAAGTATTGGTGGGAATTGACAAAAATGTGACAATTTTATAGTATTACAATATTTGGGCCACGATAGAAAAATTATTGCATTTCTATTGGATTGGATTTGATTCTGCAATATATTCTGATTTGTGTCCCTCATCATTCAAATGTGTACAAAGGTTGAGGAAAATAAGACTGAGAAGTCAAATATCACATGTATTATGGTCTGCACACTAACTGTAACACATTAACTTATTCTCTGAAGGCGACTCTCACATGAAGCAGAGCTCCCAGCACTGAACTTCTACAATAGACTAGAGCAGTGATCATCAACTGGCGGCACACGGGCCAAATCCGGGCCGCCAAGCCATTTGATCCGGCCCGCGACTGTATTCCAAAAATGTGAGGATCAAAAAAATGATATTTAAAATAAAAAGATTAGTATTGGTTAGTGCTCTGATGGGAGACCTCTGGAACACCAGGTGCTACAGTAGGGCGGCTGTGGCTGTAAAGTGCCAATCTGTGGTGGTGTCCTTAGGCAAGACACTTCCCCCACATTAGAATGAGTCTGGTGTGTGTGTGAATGGTTGGTGGTGGTGGGAGAGGCTGATGGCACAGACTTTGAACCATGTTTTATTCATGTACTTGTCTGGTGCACACTGGGGACCTTTGCGGATGTATTCCAATGTGGCTTTACTGCAAATGGCTAATAAATTAATCTGATTTAATTTTCTTAATTCTATTTTTGAGGAGACTGTCTGGTAAAACTCTGGCCCTCTGACAAATATAGGTGATGACGCCTGGACTAGAGTAACAAAACTTCAGGTGTAAATTACCAGAAAAAACACAAAATTGAAACGGATAAGTATTTAATTAAATATCGCAATACTGCTCTACTATATCGATTTCATAGTGTAGAATTTCACAATGCAGAATTTGTCTTAACTCTGAGTTCCTTAACCCACCCACAGACAGTTGTAGCATACATGCTTTTCAAAGCCGTCATTTGTTTAGCAGTGCAAAAGCTTGATTGTAACACTAGATATTTTGAGATATCCGGGAACTGAACTGGCGGATACTTGTCCAACTCATAACTCAAATCATTCTTGGATAACGCATTAGGATCTATACCCGTATACAATTTGACTTTTTCGATGTATGGATATTAGGGGTGGGAACCTAAGGGTACCTCACGATACGATACGATACACGATACAAAGCTCACGATAACAATGTTATCACAATATGACGATTATCGATATATTGGTCAGAAATATACCATATGCCAATTTATGGCATAAATCAAAGAAAAAATACACTTTATTTCATGATAAATGGAATGTAGATGTGTATTGTAGCCATATATTAAGTATTGATACCAATTTAAAAAAACAAATTTGTAAAAAAAAAAGAACAAAAAATATTTCCTTTTTTTTTTTTTTTTTTTTTTTTAAATCGATTTCAAAATTGATACTTGGCAAATGCATATCGATAATCAAATCGCGGGAGAAAGTATCGGCAGAAAGTATCGTCACACCCCTAATGGATATTGAGAATTAGAATCTAAATGACAATCTAGGATTGTGTCTTTAATTCAGACATGTTTTATTGTGGATGGTAGAGACAGAACAAAGTCGTTACAGAATGTAAGAGATATTATACAGAGGAGGAATAGAGTCCTCCGATCATGATTCGTTACGGTGCCAGAAGCTTCAACCTTGATACTTGTACTCCTGACTCTTTGGTGTACCTGGTGAAATTCATTCAATCACATTTATTTTGGTAGAGTCCTTAATCTAGGGCTGGGCGATATGCCAAAAAAGTAAAATCTCGATTTTATTTCCTGCTTTGGACGATTTTGAATCGATTTTCATTAAAAGTCACCGAAGACAGACTTTGCACTTGAATATTGAGCGGAAAGATCAAAACATATTCTCAAGTATTTGTCTCATTCATTAAAGACCTTATGACGGGTTTGATTTATTTAGAAATACAGTTTTAATACCATTTTATATTAGAAGAGAACTACTAAAGGTTTCAAAATCAGTTGTTGTTTTTTTTGTCTGATCCCCCCAAATCGAAATAACCCCATAGCAACGCCCTTAGAAACGAAAAAACTTCACAGCCCTTGGTGACGTCAGAACGGGTACGTTTCAATGCTGTAAGTTGTTTACAATTTGATATTCGTTCTTTTTTCGCGGATATTCAAGATGACAAGGCCGTGTACAGCGAGTCTAAAATAACTACTAGAATTTAACATGTCGTTGTTACTGAGATAGTCCAGTGGTTGTGTTTATGGACTGCCGATCCAGATACTGGAGTTCAAATCCCACCTCGGACATTTTTTCACACTCAAAACGGCAATTTATGTGTAGTGAGCAATTGTCACCTGTAGAGTGCAGTATTGTGTTGGGCATCAGTGGAGAGAAGAGAGAAAAGGCAGTCCTGTGGCATAGATCCATGGTTTTCAATGCATGGGCGTAACCCGCTATGACGTCACACACAGGTTAGAGCATAGACAACTTAAATTCATGAAAAACACGTTCTTTTTTTAAAATATAGGATTTTTTTTGCCGGAATCTCTTTCAAATTGACATTGTCATGCAATTTTGATATCCACTATTTTTTTTTTATTAAAAACCCGTCATAAGGTCTTTAAGTATTAAAAAGTGCTGTTCACACTGTGCTGATATAAGCATGAGTATAATTCATGTGCTGCTGGAACTCTCACAATATCCTTCATTCCATTTCACAAGTTTCACATTTTTCACAAATTCGATTTTTTCAAAAGCCGATTAGTTGGCTAAATTTGATTTATTGCCCAGCCCTACCTTAATCACAACAGCAGTGGTCTCTGGGGACTTTAAAAAGTTGTCAATTCACCACCACAGATCAGAGAATCAAATTGTTCAAGCACAGGAAATGCAGCAATAACAAACACAGAGCCATGGGTTCATAAAGGGCCCAGATGTTGATGCTCGGCTTGGTCAGCACCAGACCTGGAGGATTTGCCTATTGTAGGGGAAACCGGAGCACCCGGAGGAAATCTATGCAAACACACGGAGAACATGCCCTCCACACAGAAAGACCCTGTACTTTATTGTCCCCGTAGAAAATTGATCAGTTAATTATTTATTATTATGTCGGGGGCGACAGTAGCTCAGTTGGTAGAGCATTGGCCTTTGGGCCTGAAGGTCGTGGGTTCAAGCCCACCATAAGATCTACTTCACGACTCCCACTGATGACTGCTGTCGTTGTGTCCTTGGGCAAGACACTTAACTCCACTTTGCCTGAAGCTCCCACTGAAAGATCTCAGCTCCTGTGGACTCACCACCTGCAGGAGGATCAGTGAGGGGCTGGTGCTGTGTGTACTGGGTGCAGCTCTGACTGCCACCCCCCCAACCCAGAAATGGATTAAGGGGAAGAAAATGGATGGATGGATGGATTATTTATTTCAGCCCAAAAAGATGGTCCATTGTCCAAAAGGTGCCTTGCAGCAAGTGTAGCCATCTACAGGTAAAACGCAGATCCCCTCAGACCTCTGAAGCTCAGCACGGCAGTGCCTGGTTAGTGCTGTGATGGGAGACCTCTGGGTGTGTCCAAAAAGAGCTATGTAAGCAAGCAATATGTAATTATTTATTAGCCTCTGTACATGTAGCAGCAGTATGTTTACATCTGTACATGTAGCACCAGTATGTTTACATCAGTACATGTAGCACCAGTATGTTTACATCTGTACATGTAGCACCAGTATGTTTACATCTGTACATTAGCAGCAGTATGTTTATATCTGTACATGTTAGCAGCTGGATATTTACATCTGTACATTAGCAGCAGTATGTTTACATCTGTACAATAGCATTAGCATGAGAACACAGTGACACATGTATGTGGTCTTCCTTATGGACCAATGTGTTTGTTTTGTGTTCGGACTGTTTGATTTTCAGATTTGTTGTCGACAAATCAACTTGATGACTGCTGTTGTGATTTACGGCAATACACAAATACATTTTATTAAATTATAACAATAACGCAAGGAGTATTTACTGAAAGAGTTTGGCCGTCATGAGCCATTAATAACAACTGTAAATCATGTAAAACTGCACTGTACAAAATGTGCTTTATAAAAATGTCTCTGATTGTGCGCTGATGACAGAACTGAATAGAATTATATATATTATTATTTTTTTGGTTTGACTTACAGTGCTGGTAGACACTGAACTCACTCCATTCTAAACCATTCTGCCCCCAATCCATTGCAAACTATTCCTATTTTACACCTGGGAATTCTGTCACGATTTAAAGGCGACCATTCCACGTAATGTCCTGATTTTATTGCACACTTTGCCTGCTCTGGCTTCAAACACAAATGACCACATAGGCTCAATTATAGCAGAGGCTAAGCTGTGCAAGAGCCAGGCTGGGGGTCAGGGAAAGTCAATGGAAGACGCTCTACAAGTGGCTGGAGCCTCAGAGACAAGAATGAGGGTTTAAAAAGCAGAGATCTGGAGGAGAATGTACCTTTGACGAGGCGTTCCGTGGTGGATTGCTTCTCTGGCTTGTCTTTATCCTTCCCTGACATCTTGGCTCCTTGTTCAAAGCTAAATGTGACTTGCGCGGTCAGATGTGGTCTTGTCAGGGTCCGTCTTCGCTCGCTGGTCCGGGGGGGTCTCTCTGGCTACCGCATCTGCACTTTTTCCCTTTTCTGCGAAGATTTCTGCGTGCAAAAGCGAGCACAACACCACCAGATTACTACTAAATCTTGCTAGCTCTGGACAACATTTAAAGATGCAGGGGTTTGTGTTGTTGGGAGTGCAGAGCTTTGGAAACAGGCTTCGGAAAAGAGAATAATACCTGGTTATTACCCCGTGGGAGGATGTCGTCTGTGGATAATCCGATTTACGAACTCTTATGAAGCTAGTTAGCCGGCTAACATGTTTGGGATTGGCGAGCGAGCAGCAGCAGCAGCAGGGCAAGACTTGTGGATCATCTTCAATGGAAAAAGGTGCAGAGTGAATGAGGGGGGTCCGTGGGGGGCAGCCGTGGGAGTGTACCCGGAGACAGCGCGCAGAGATGGGGCTATGGGCAGCGTCTTGACTGCCCTCCTCCAGGATTAAGTCTAATCTGAGTGTGACAGAGGCAGAGACGGCGGCGGGAGGCGCACAGAACAGCCGCAGAGGGAACAGCCCGAAGCAGTCTGGGGGGCGTGGTCTCCGGCGCAACACGTCGCTCATTTGCATATCTACTGGAGCTCTTTGATCTGGATGATTATTATTTATGACAAAAATTAGATTTCATTCAGCAACAATCATTTCAAAGCGACCCAGTGCCGAATTCAAGGCTCGCAAACACACGCACGTACCCACACGCACGTACACTCTCACACGTGTTAACACAGACTCCCACGCACACACCCACACGCGCACACAGACACGCACACACACAGAGAGACACAGACACTCACGCACCAAGGCACACACACACATAAACATAGACACACACGCTCACTCACAAACACACACTTAGAAACAAACATTCCTATGTTTCTAAATATTTCCAGAAGGACGTTTTTTATTTTTTTTATTCAATTTGCTTTTGAAATACATGCTTAAAAATATATGATAAATATAAATAAGTCTACTGTAACTCACGTTGAAGAAGTTCTATTGTCTGTGAGTCTGATTTTCTATATTCAGGAGCTACAGTGGTCAATGTCATTCATCTCTAGAAAAAAGACAATGACAATGCACCACATATAGCCCTATGTCCTCGATCCAGAATCAGACTTGTTCATTTTGTTCACTGTACGGTGAGTTAGTAACATCCTTCTTACTGATCTTACAGATCTATGCTCCTCGTAGATCTTTTATTGTGGGAATAAAACCACGTTTCAAGAAAAGATTTTGAGTAAGTTCAGTTTCATGGTTTGCGAATTTTAAAGACGGCTCATGTGAAGAGAAAGTCCAGCTACATTCGCCTCATTCTTTGTGTCGTCACATATTTACACCCAAAAAAAAACACACGCTTTTAGGCGCTGACAACAGCAGAAAAACAGAAGATGACAAAGACATTTGGAAAGACATTTTTCTGACCAAGCACAAGAGGGACCGCCCCCACAGCTTCCTGATTGGTCACAATTATTTCCAATCCTTGATAGACAACTGAGGCCCCTCACCATTGGTCTAACTATTCTCCTCCAGTAAACATCACGGGTGGTGTTTATGCCAAAGGGAGGGACTGTTTTATGACAAATACTTCATATAGATGATCATACGGAGTCATATGGTCTAAAGTAAGTGTTCCTAAAAAAAATGAAATAAATTTGAAGTTGCAGATATCACCTTTAAGTAAAAGTAGACGCATGCTTACATGTGTGCATAAAAGTAGTAAAATGCAGCAGACCACCAGTTTATACTGATACAAAACTTAAACTGTGAAGCCTTCATTAAAATCACAAAGTCAGTCTTATCAAAGTGCATTATGCAGAAAATCAAACAAATACACAAAAGTCTTTTTAATCTTCTACATTATTTAGTTTTCACATCATTTCTACCACGTAGGTGGGATTGGATCATTTCCAAAGGCACACCAACGTACCACGGCCCACTGGTTGAAAAACACTGCAATAGACTATATTAAAGGTTCTTTACATTTCACTTTTTTATTCATTTTTCACAGTCCATCCTAAGCATGTATGCGATACACTCAAAACTCAAAGTACAGCCATTTCTTGCATCGAGGTGATGTCACCTATATTGAAAGCTAATGCCGCGTATAAAAGTGATGCTACGTTACAAAGTGGTCGTTTGCTTTCTCTGGAGAATGAAAGAGAAAGATTGTTCTCTAACTAAAGCTTGAAGGAATCAATGAAAAAACGACTCTGGGCTAAATGGCTGAAATGTATAAGCAAATAATGGGACCTTTAACGTAGGTATTGACACCTATTTCCTCCGATGAAATCTATATGTGATCAACATGGACCTTTTTAAAATGGCCGTGAGTAGCCCCTCCCGCAGGACAATTGTGAAAAAACGCTTTCAGAGCAGATGCTGTATATTTGCGCATGCGTTAGTAGGATTGAGCCTGACTCATGGCTGATAAACACTTTAATTCAAAAGTCTCCCAAGGACAAACTCCCCTCAACATTGACATCTGGAACGTTGAGCCAAGAATGACTTTAGGATGAGGCTGTAAAGCTGTTTTTGAGAGGAAAAAGATGCCATTAGAATTAACGGAATAATTCTGTTTCCTGTACACCCCCACCGGCAAGAAGCCAGATTACAGCATGTCAGCGCACATGCTCACGGAGCCTTTTGAGCCAGAACCTGCCCCCACTGGTCCTGACCAAGAGCATCACCATTTTGAAATGGGTCAAATGCAGTGGACACATTTCCCCACAGCAATAATAAAGTGTAACTTAACCCTTTAATCTTCACTCCTTGAAAAAAGATGTAGGATAATAATGTACTAATAACACAACGCAACACATAGTAATAAATGATAGAGATGCAGTTTGATGGTGAAGTGCTTAAAACCAGGTGAGATTCCCCAATGGGGTAGATGCTCTTTATTTTATTATTATTACTATAGATCCAAGCTTCAAGTAGACAAAGCTCAAATGTGATCCAAACTGTTGAGGAAACCATTACAGGGTTAAATTATGTAAAATGTTCTTATAGAATAATTAATGGAAAATTATGTTATTTATTTGAAGCAAATTTTAAAGAATACTCATGAAACAATTAAAAAAAGCTGTGATTCTGTAGTTGAAGTGCTGGCAAAGAATATGACCATTTACATGTACACTGTTAGCATAGCTATACACAATTAAAGTCATTTAGAAGCATGGCTAACCACTTCAAACATGTGACAATGGTCAAACTCCTGCAGGTTTGTATGTTGGGTCGTCATCTGCAAATACCCATACACATACCCATTTTAACAATGTAAGGAGGAGAAATTACACATATGGCTCTAAAATAAATATAATGTAACAAAAATAAATACAAGTAAAGTACAGATACAGAAGCAGTTTAATGTCTTGTTAAAAAGAACAAAAACATGGTCCACCTTATCACATTCAGATGGGTTAGTCCAGCCATTCCCAAACTCAGTAACACCGAGGCCCCCTTAAAAATCTGACGGGTCTGCGTGGCCCCCCAAAATAATAACCAAGAAGACAACATTAAGAATAGGCTCTTCTGGTTATTTTATTTTGGGGAAATAGCCTCTGCTACAAACATTGTAATACAAAAATGATTACAGTGGCTTATTCAAGTCAAATAATGAACACAAATATTTTAATATTACAAACAAAACATTATAAATTTAACATTAAATAATTATATTATTTTTTTATTTTTTTTATGACCTCCCGCGGCCCCCCTGCAGTACCCACGCGGCCCACCAGGGGGCCGCGGACCCCACTTTGGGAGACACTGGGTTAGTCAATACGTTACATTGAATGCAGTTACAACATGTGGACGCTAGGTGGAAGCATCGTCACGTAATGAATTATGACTTTCGTCCTATTTCAGTCCTGAATAAATAGATCCATGCCTGAAGGCAGAAACACATGGGCATATCAGTAACAGTGGCGCAGTGGTTAGCACTTGAGCTTCACAGCAAGTATACCCTTGGTTTGATTCCGCCTCCGGACAGGAGTTTGAAAATTCTCTGGGTGCTTGGGTTTCCCCATTGAGTGAGGGTTTAAAAACTGACTTAATTTTATTTTTTGTACAGGCCTAATCCACAACAGCGGTATTTGCAATTCAGCAACGTTTTTATGGACACTAATTTACAACTGGATGGATAAATGTCCAACTGTATTTAAGTTGATAATTTTTTTTATATTAATGTTATAGTTTAATAATTAGTTGTTACAATAAACCCACTTGTAGCAGCCTTTATAGCCATGTCTTGATTTGAAATGGAGCAAGAGGACGGTTTGTTACTGAGCATCAGGGTTTTTGGAAAACAAATCGTGGGAGACAGAGGACCATGTACTTTACAAATGCTCTTTAAGATGCTCCAGTTTTGATTGATTCTCTGTGCTTCAGTCCTGTATCAGTGACAAAGACAAAAATCTATGTTAAGACCCATGGATTTTTGAGAAAAGGGTATGTGCAAATGACCCTGATTCTCAATATAAACCTTTAATATAATCATTTATATTAGCTGCAGGAATTTACAGTCTCTGTCCAAAATAACTTTAAAGAAACAAACTCTGCTGTCATTATTGAACATTATGACTTCAGCTGGACTCTGATCATTGCCATTTACCTGCTGTCCCATTGTCTGTTTATGGAACGATGGGACCTCTGACCCCAGCCTCTTCGACCTGCACCTGTGAACTGCCATGTCCGGACATTATGGACACTAATATCTATCCATCCATCTACAATACTCGATCCTGAGCGGTAAACTGCCTCAATAACAGACAGCAAAGCACTTTCATTCATTACTGATTTCTTTTATTGAACAGAACATTCATGTGGCTTTCTAGTACAAGGCCCAGACTTTCCCACCTCACTCTAACGAACCCGTCCGCCATCGTACAAAGAAGGCTCCCGCCGTTTCAAAAGTTACTCAGTCTATCTGGTGAATTTAAATTAAAAACATTAGTCATATATAGTCTAATAAAATAATGCAGATATTAAATATAGCTATGTACCATGTGAAATTAGATCACAAACTAAATATCGCCTCAATTCGAAACCGGAAATGTTCTAAACTGCACAGTAATTCAGGTCTCCTTGACTTGCATATACATCTAAAGTTCTGTTACGAATAAAACAATTCCGTTACAAACCAGACATTGAACAGAGAGTGCTGCATTCCCACATTTCCGGATCATTTTGTGAACCAATGCGCCGTCGCAGCTTTTGCCGTATGAAGAAGACATATTGTGCTTTCTCCTGCTATCGGTGTGAGACACGGGAATCAGAGTAATGGCATCTTTGATAATAAAGATTGTGTATTTGAATATGCATACATCACATACAATGCACCTTTGAATGGAGGGAATAAAGGAGAAAAAATAGCCTTTTGATTTTTCACTATATGTCTCCTTTAAAGCTGAAAATTAGCCCTAAAGTAAACCCACGAAGGGAGGTGGTTTTTCGACAAGATCAGACAACAGTTCACAAAATATCTAATGTGCGCTGACTTGGCGTTGACAAAAATCAAACAAAAAACAATATGCTTCAATGTCTGGTTAGAGAAAAGTGCAGATTTTAAAAAGAAAAAAAAGGAGTCCAAACCTGGCAGCCCACCAATTTCATAATAGTTCATACAATACATACTTTGACAAGACATGGATGTATTCCTTCCACAAGAACTTTGTGCACAAAACTTTGTCACTTGGTTGGGTTGAATACTTTTCCAACCAGGAGCGTGGCTTCTGTCTGGACTGAAGGAGTGTTGATACGTGGATATATGGCGGAGAAATGGCGGCTTAAGTTCCAGTTCGAGCCGCGCCTTTCGTCCTTGGTCCCACTGTTCCCGATAAGGCAGGTATCAGAGGTATCCATAGAGGTATCCAAACCTCGGATTCCAGTCTCTCCCCAAAAACCCGCTGACAATCGGCTTTTTCCAAGAGCTCAATCCTCATCAGCATCATTTCTTCTTTCAAATTCAGTTGCGTGCTATTGGAAAGGGCATCCATTTTGATAAAACAGACTACTCCAAACCAGTCGAATGGAACTACCCTATTTTTTTCCAGTCCTAAATCTATACTAAAAAAACTATAAACAAAAGTCTTCAGATTTACAGATACATAGATTAGGTTTCACTAATATTGAAATGTGTTTAAACGTAGTCTTGAGCAGTACTTGCTGGACTATGAGCCGCTACTTTTCTCAAGTTCTTTTAACTCCGCAGCCTTTATAGTAAAGCAGCCAATGTATAATTATTATTTAGTTAGAGTGCCCCCTGGAGTGTAGGAGAGGAGAGCAGTGAGAGATTATTGTATGTATGACATTAGGGAACTTGTCAGAGCAGAGTGTATGGACTAGTTTGACTCAAGTTTTTGTATAAATTGGACACATTAACTTCAAAAAGAGACTAGAGTTACCAGAGGGTTTTGATCATAACCTCATCATTCACAATGTCATGTCCAGTTTAATCAGTCGTCTATCAGCTGTTGGTTAAGTGTTACAGAACAACATCCAAACTTGCAGCTGATATTCAACTCTGGCATTTATGTGGACTGGTGCGGTTTGTGGACAGCTGCGCTTAATAGTCCGGCAAATACTGAAGTTATATACTATTAAAAGAGTAATTTTGACAATATATGTCCTTTTTAAAAACAATTTTCCGAACACAACCAAGTAAAAGCAACAGTATGCAACTTTTGTGGATGGAATTCCAAGGACTTCATTTCCCATAGATTTGAAGCCCATGGATTCCACGGAGCCGTCCCCAGGGCAGGTGCGAGACAGACACACTCCATTCAGTCTGTATGATTTAAGCTCAAAAGTTACATACTGGAGCTTTAAAACGTTTCAACCACAGCTTTCCCTGTCCGCCACTCCCTCACTCGCAGCCGATTGTCAGCGGGTGCTGAATCTTCCCTAAAACCCTTCGACGCCCTAATATTGTCGGGGGGAGACACAAGCAAACGTCAATATAGTCGTTTGTAAGAAAGAAAGAAAAAACCCAGTTTTTTCTTCCCCCTCCGTCGCTACTGCATGATGAAGCCGGGCTGCGGGGCCAGTCTGGGGGCTGGTCGCTGGGGCAGAGCCGGAGCGCACTGTGGCAAGAAAGGGTAGCCCTGGACGGAGGGGAAAGGCTGGCCCGTCCGTGGGGGGATGGGCGGGTACGGGGAGAAGGCTTGGTTCAAAAGGGGCGCTGGCTGAGATGGCGGCGGCGGCGGTTTCCTCGTGGCCTGGACGGCGCTGTGTGGAGAGCTGTTGCCGTTGGAGGAGTGGTTGGTCTCCGGGATCTTGGGAAGGTCCTGTGTGCGGGGCGCGGGGACGGGCATCTGGGGCAGACGCTGGCCCTTCATAACCATCTCCTGCAGCTTCTCGATCTTGACGCGCCGCAGATGGGCAAGCTTCCTCTGACTCTGGTACGAGTCCACGAACGAGTCCAGCGTCATGTCGCCGTCCAGGAAGCAGTCGGCCATGTTCTGCACACAGACGAGGACACGCGTTTGTAAATCGCAGTTCATACAACTCAAAGGGCGTAAGAAAACAAGATAGAAATGATCATACAAGGTTATAATAATAATCACATTACATTAAAAAGAGTAAAGATACAATCCTTCAGTTGAATGCACAGCTCAAGAATTTGATCATTGTCAAAGATGATGTCTCACAGTACCACCAGCAGGAGGTCAGTCCCTGTGCTCCTCAGAGTCCCAGCAGGAGGCCAGTCCCTGTGCTCCTCAGAGTCCCAGCAGGAGGCCAGGTTTATTTTAAATTATCTGATTTAACTTAGTTAAAGTTATAGATTGTCATTAGTACATGCTTGAACTGAACAAACACTGAATTTAAAGAAGTGCTTGAAATTGCAAATTGATAAAAAAGCGTTAACATTTATAATTTACTTGTTAATTAGCTTTAATGTACATATACACACACATAAACTACAGTACTACCAATGTTTACAAGTGAATAATAATACCTTAAAATTATTTCAAGCACCTCGTTCACCACAGGTTGGAAAACGCTGATGGAAAGAACGTAATATCTGATAGCGGTGTCACAGAAACAGCGGGAGCGGTTTCTTCTGCAAAATACATCACTAAACTCTGTCTTTAACTCATTAGAAAACACTATTATAATTACACACTGAGAGCTGAGTCTGGAAAAGCTGATCTAAAAATGTGAGTTGCATGTGAGTGAAAACCAGTGATAGAACCAAAATGTTTTGAGACCGAAATGTATTTGAAAGTGAGTTAAAGTAGCAATGTGTAAGATTTGCATGTCATGTCATCATTAAAGGGCCCTAATCTGTCAAAAGGCATTCATAAAACATGCTCTTTTCCAATATTCTTTAACTGATAACAGTAGTTCAGAGATATTTGAATTTCAAAATTAGTTTTCCAGCCCCTAAATCTTGTTATTGTTTTCAGTTTGATGTCCCGCCCTCCACCATTTCACCAATCAGAAAGTCCGTTATCTAGTCAAGCTAATCTCACTGGTATAGTACCATGTGGCCGCAGAACTAAAAAAGGGATTGTTATGATTCTCAAATCATTAACGACAAAACAAGGAATAAAACCAGGATTTCTCTCTTTGTGAAAAATGTGTCGTTATAGATTTGTTGTTGACAAAACTCAGTCTATTCAGCTGTTATGGTCCGAGCTGGATTCGTCTGCATATCTGGCAACCTGAGTCAGGGAGAGGGGGAGAGGCTGCAGAACCACTTTTGGCCAGATTTGTACATACTGTCGTAATTAAAAAAAAATGCGAAAACTCACAGTATGTTCACAGCATCTTATGTGACGGCAATAAATAACTTTCAAACGTCATGGGTCACACTCACCTCGGTGTCCTCCTCGATCTTGGCGCCCTCGGCCTGAAGCAGAGCTAGCAGTGTGTCCAAAGACATGTTCCCAGAGCTGTGGTCTGAAAACCATAAGAAAAAGAGGTTAATTAAGTCACTAAACATGACCCTCACAGTCGCAGTCATGTTTTTTTGTTTTCTCCAGTTCAACACCATCAGACGGCACTGATGCAGGAAGACGTAGACTACACTAGGACTGAAAAACCAGTACTGCTTATTGTACATAATTGTATCCCGCATGGACTATATTTTTAACATGTTTAAATGTTGCACACTTCATGTTTTTTTATCTTACTTTATTACAGAGCAGCAGCATTTAAAACACTAGCTAGCTTTATGGACAGCAAACAAACTAGACTACAGATACTTTACAATCTCGTGTTGGAAGAAAATGCAGTTATGAGAATGAAAAAAAAGAGACATAGACGTTCTCCTGGAGTGAGATGTAATTGCCCACTTCATCAAAATATACCTGTGAATATAGTAATGTAATGATACATTTTGAAAGTTTCTGCATCGGTTTGCTCCTGCCTCAATACAGTAGAATGTTGCAAGCAGGTGTAATTTGCATTTGTGCCAAAATGCCCTCTTCCTTTTGCATACAGACTAGGAGTGTGACGATGTAATGATATATCGTGATACTTTCTCCCACGATCCATTATCGATATGCATTTGCCAAGTATAGATTTTGAATTATGTTTTTTTCACATTTTGTTTTTTTTCCCAATTAGTTTCAATACTTAATATATGACTACATTACGTATCTCCATTCCATTTATCATGAAATGAAGTGAATTTAAAGTTTATTTACAGCAAATGTGCAGGTCTGAATACACCCTCAGAGGAGATGAGGTATTTAAATTCTGAGCCGCACTGTAGTTGCTTTAAGTCCATGCAACATCCGCGGAAACCGTTTTGTCGTAAAAAAAACTGACAGTGCCAAAAGCGCAGCTGTTTGTTATAATGAGTCCAAATGTTTAGACAGTCTTTGAACAAAGCTTTGAACAGAACTGAGCAGAGGGTGAAGGCTCTGGGCTGAGTCACGGGTCGTAGCCACAGTGCCTCCCTGCGATTTCTCCAAAAAGTGCTGGGAGTAAATCAATAAATGATTTATTTATTGTTTATTTGGTTGGGACAGTTCATGTTAATGAACACATCCCTCTGGATTGCAGCTTTGCACTGATTTGCATCCGTTGTCCCACATTCACACTCACAAACACACTCTTTCACCCTGAACTATTGTACATGTTTTTAGTGGTTGAGGAAACCGGAGCACCCGGAGGAACCTACGCAGACACGGGGAGAACATGCAAACTCCGCTCAGAAAGGCCCTGTACCGGGATTCAAGAGCCTTCAAATCAGTCAGTCAGACCAATTGCAACCAGTGGGGGCGGGTCCCGGCTCAAAAGTGGCCAAAATGACGTGTGCTGACGTGCTTGCAATACCACCCCGGGCCGATGGGGGTGGACCCAGAATAAAAATTAGCCAATGCTAACATATAGAATTGGCAGACCTCTCAAAAACGTCTTTACAGGATGGTCCAAAAGTCGGCTCTTGGCCCAAAGCTCCGTTCCACATGTGTGTCAATGCTGAGGTGAGTGAATTTTTTTGGACCAGTCTAGTTTAGTTGCTGTGAATTTTTTAAGGCACTTGTTAAATGAATGGGGCTCGCGCCGGCTGACGCATGCGCAGATGCGTTTTTTACAGTAGAGCACAATTTTTGGCCCATTTGTTTGAACGGCGGAGATCGGCAGGATAGTGGGAGAGACAGAAACATACGTCTCCACCTTGAAGGACTGATAAAGAGCCCAGGACTATGAGGTCTATGAGGTCTACGAGTTACCCGTTAGCATAAAAACATTTTGCTTTGTCTACGCCCTGTTTATATGGTGTTGTCTACCTTGGCCTACCTTTTTATCTAATAACACTTTATATTTTCCTAAAGTCTTTCATTTTTACACAATTATTTACATTATGTTTGACAGTTATATTTGTGTTTGATGTTATTTTGAGCTACTGTGTCCAAACGATTGACCCACAAAGGCTCAAAGTCTAAGAACAAATCAGGTTAATAGTTTAATTTATATTATTCAATAATGAACAGCAGGTTTTGTGAATACACCAGATTGTATCCGTATCAGAATCAAGAAATCCCTGATTTTTGTGACGTTATGGAGACGACTGGTTGGAATAAAATGAAATAATTTAACTCACGGTAGCAAATACACTCCACAAAATGCCATTGAAGCAAAGAACAGACTCGTGTGAAGAGTAAACAAGGCACAGTCGTGATTCAAACAACAGGAGACTAAATCTGTCCACAATCTGGGTCAAATCTACATCTGGGGCAGCAGCACAGAGACTGGACACTCTTGTAACCTACATCTCCGCCCCCCCTCCTGGATGATGGCTCTGGTGTGTCCTGGTGCACACTGGCCAAGTCTTGTAGTTATTCCAATGTGGTCTAACTGCAAATGGCAAATAAACAATCTTTGGCCATCAGAAGTAGTGGTAAGGAAAAACATTGATTCTGTTCAGTATTTTAATATATATTAGGAGCTATACCCGTTGCTGCAAGGTTAGAATGTTTAGCACCGCCCCTCCACTCGCTCACAGGCTTCTCATTTCCACTACGCTCTCATCCCACGGAGCCCTCTAGTTTTATATGCGATCCGATACGTATGCTAACATTAACATTAGCGCAACTTAAAGACCTTATGCCGGGTTTAAAAAAAAAAAAATTGTGGATATCAAAATTGCATGACAATGTCAATCTGAAAGAGATTCCGGCAAAAAAAATTCCTATATTTTATAAAAAGAACGTGTTTTTCATGAATTTAAGCTGTCTATGCTCTAACCTGTGTGTGACGTCATAGCGGGTTACGCCCATGCATTGAAAACCATGGATCTATGCCACAGGACTGCCTTTTCTCTCTTCTCTCCACTGATGCCCAACACAATACTGCACTCTACAGGTGACAATTTCTCACTACACATAAATTGCCGTTTGAGAGTGAAAAAGTGTCTGAGGTGGGATTTGAACCCCAGTATCTGGATTGGTAGTCCATCGACACATCCACTATCTCAGTGCCAACGAAGAGTTACAATCTAGTATTTATGTCAGACTCGCTGTACACGGCCTTGTCATCTTGAATATCCGCGAAAAAAGAACGAATACCAAATTGTAAACAACTTACAGCGTTGAAACGTACCCACTCTGACGTCACCAAGGGCTGTGAAGTTTTTTCGTCTCTAAGGGCGTTGCTATGGGGTTATTTCGATTTGGGGGGATCAGACAAAAAAAACAACAACTGATTTTGAAACCTTTAGTAGTTCTCTTCTAATATAAAATGGTATTAAAACTGTATTTCTAAATAAATCAAACCCGGCATAAGGTCTTTAAGCTGCACAACAATCACTGATGAAATGGTACAAAAGCAATGCACCGCTAACAAAATGTATAACTAGTTTCGCGTCCGAATGTGGTCCGAGCATAGATAGTCAGAGGCAGTCCCGCAGGTCTCTCCCATAGACTGTAAGTCTCTCCAGAGGATACGATGTAAGCTAGCTATGTTCACCCGGGTTTGATTTCTTCTTTGATCATTTTTTCGCTTTATTTCCCTTTTCTCTTCTTCACTGTTGTGTTGTTCAGACTGTTTTGCTCTGTCTGCAGTTACAGCAAGAAGAGTTATAGCCAATTCTGCTAACATGCTACTGTGTTTTGCAGCGCTGTAGAGGCTAGAGGACGCAGGCTCGTTCTGTGATTGGAGGAGAGCGAGCATCACGCTAAGTTTCTACTCAGCACTTTTGAAGGCCTTAATTCATACACAAGCTGAATCAATGAGCTCAAGTTTACAATGAAATTACGGATTATAATACAACTTGTATGTAGTAATAAGCATTTTTATGAACATTAGAAAATAAATTGGGTATAGCATCTTTAAATTGATACAGTAGAGTAAAGTCTGGCTTTCTTGCAAATGACGTCACGCATTGGTTCAAGCGCCATATTGAGGGGATGCCCGGTAACCATCATCATATATGCCATGTTTTTCTTTAATGGGATTAATGAGTTTATATGACTGGTATCTTACGTTTGTTGGGATAATAGTGTTAGCAGATCTTTCTGGTTGAAATGAACATATATCTTGTACCCAAACATTAGTAAAAAAAAAAAAGTCCATGAGCCTCAAGGGATTTGTAATTTCTTAAATTTGTTTTCTTCGGAATGGAGTCCAACCAAGTTGTGCTCTAACTCACTCTGGCTCCTATTGACGTTGAAAAGTAAAGTCTTACAGCTGCTGCCCTATTACTGCCTCTTGTACAGATCTGTCTTTAAACATATATGCATAATAGCCACAAGTCTCATTCTTAGGGTTAGCTGCAGGTTGGCTATTTAGTGTCTAAGCAAAGGAAGGTTTCTCACCCATCATCTGTACTTCTTAGCAAGTTTTCCCGACGTTTCGTCCTCAACCTAGCGGACTTCTTCAGGGAATGAATATTTAGTGTCTACAATGTACAATTTTACACACACTTTTTAAGTGTGTGTAAATGTTATGTTGGGGATTGTTGATCTGCTGACCCTGGACCCTCTGCCATTTCTATCGTCCATCTATTGAGAGAATTCTGTTATTATCACCCAACTGTTGGTTATAAATTAGTTATTTTCAGGCGACAGTAGCTCAGTTGGTAGAGCATTGGCCTTTGAGCCAGAGGGTTGTGGGTTCGAGCCTGACTTTCACCATCGACTCCCACTGTCTGCTGTCGTTGTGTCCTTGGCAAGACACTTAACCTCTGGGAACACCAGCCACAGTGGGGCGGCTGTGGCTGTAAAGTGCCAAACTGCTGTTGTGTCCTTAGGCAAGACACTTAACCCCCATTGTCTAGAATGAGTCTGGTGTGTGTGTGAATGGTTGGTGGCACATACTGGTTGCCTCGCTTCTGTCAGTGTGCCCCAGGGCAGCTGTGGCTACAGTAGAAGTTCATCACCACCGTGTATGGAGTGAATGAATAATGACATGTAAAGCGTCTTTTAGTGTCCAAAAAAGCGCTATATAAAACTGATGCATTATTATTATTATCATAAATCAGGCTAATGTTAGAGATCTTATTTGATTTTAGATAAATAGTTATGGTTCATTTATCTAGTGTTGTGTGCTCCTCGTTCCTACTGTTCTGTAACCGGTGATAAAACACTGAAATTTACCCTCTGAGGTTGAATAAATAATAAATAGGTATTGTTCCTTCAGTCTATACACAGTGATGTGATGTGACACACTGACAAAAGAGGCGACCAGTGTGTGACATGCAGGTGGCGCCATGTACTGAAAAATACATTGAAAAGATTGTATAATGTTTCATCAATAGAATTACACAAACATTTCTGAGTATTGTAATACGAGTATTTGAGAGGTGGAGCTGACCGTAAGGATGGAACAAAAGCCAAGTATCAAAAGTCACACGTCACAAGTATCAGGGACTATTACAAAGACCAAACTGGTTCAAACTTGATCGGTTATGAATCCATATCATGCATACAACATTTTTAATCTCAACTACATAACAGCAAAATGATCCATAAAACATTAGGAAACGTAGCTCTATTGTGAAGACTGTGGTGTATTATGGGATATCCCTTGCCTTCCCGTTTCCAAACCAACAGTGTACATGTGTCCCTGTACAAAGCCGGCCTTTTATCGGAGGTTATTTTAAGGCGGCTGCTCAGCAACTGCTGCGTCAACAAGAGCCCGAAGAACTCACTGCTTATTCCAAAAGGTGTGTCTGTGTCATTTACTGAACAGAAACCAAATGACAGCTGCTGGAGACCGGTCCGACCAGTCCTGTCTCAGGAGTCTGTCGGGAAACCCAGGGTACATGACATAACAGCACAAGAGGAGGCAGATAGAGGCGTTAGGGCGCTTGGCTGCTGCTCTGGAAAGTGAATTCGTAGTTAGTATCATAAATGTGGAACAATTAAACGGCCTTATGCAGGTGTCTCCAACCTTTTTCACCCAGAGAGCTACTTTCCCAAGATGAAAAAGGCCAAGAATTACTCCTTTAAGTCGTCCTGGGAAAAAATAGGGTGATATATTGGTGAGAACCTGATATTGGGACAGTTTTTATCAACACATATTTGTTACTAGTGCACAAAGTAGGTTTGCATTTAAAATAATAAATAAAACATTTCTGAAATGTTCAGTATATTATTTGATTTGTTTATTTCTAAATCTTTTGGCGAGCTACCTGGAAGGGGGTGGCGAGTCATTGGTGGCTCCGTGCTACAGGTTGGAGACCTCTGGTCGAATGTTTGTCTCGTTTTGTTGTTCATGATCAATTTATCCAGGGAGTTTTAAAAATACATATATCTCATCTGTTTTCTAATGTTACCGTTCTAAACATAGGCATAATGACAAACGTCCAATTACAGAGAAACCTAGAGCTGAGTTCCATCAAAATGCTCAATTGTAATTTATGTTTTGATAATGAGAGAACGCTCAACAATGAACAGCATATGCAGTCAGCACATATTCAGTCCAGCACTTTAGTCAAGTACATATACAGTCCAGTACATATGGTCCAGTACATATGCAGGTCAGTACATATAGTCCAGTACATATGCAGGTCAGTACATATAGTCAAGTACATATACAGTCCAGTACATATGCAGGTCAGTACATATGCAGTCCAGTACATATGCAGGTCAGTACATATGCAGTCCAGTACATATGCAGGTCAGTACATATGCAGGTCAGTACATATAGTCCAGTACATATGCAGGTCAGTACATATAGTCAAGTACATATACAGTCCAGTACATATACAGTCCAGTACATATACAGTCCAGTACATATAGTCCAGTACATATGCAGTCCAGTACATATGCAGTCCAGTACATATGCAGTCCAGTACATATGCAGGTCAGTACATATGCAGGTCAGTACATATGCAGGTCAGTACATATAGTCCAGTACATATGCAGGTCAGTACATATAGTCAAGTACATATACAGTCCAGTACATATGCAGGTCAGTACATATAGTCCAGTACATATGCAGGTCAGTACATATAGTCAAGCACATATACAGTCCAGTACCTATGCAGGTCAGTACATATAGTCCAGTACATATGCAGGTCAGTACATATAGTCCAGTACATATGCAGGTCAGTACATATAGTCAAGTACATATACAGTCCAGTACCTATGCAGGTCAGTACATATAGTCCAGTACCTATGCAGGTCAGTACATATAGTCAAGTACATATGCAGGTCAGTACATATCTAATACATATTTGAAGGTGGGCCATCCTGCAAAACGGACTTATTACAGATGCCACGTGCTGCGAGCGTGTTACATTGGATTAACGCAACAATAGGGTTGTCACGGTAACCAGTGTGGACGATCATCACTGCAAAACGTGTTACTGGTAACACTCATGGTTTTAATTTTGTGTCTCAAAATGTTTTAACGCTCTGTGTGATCCTTCTTTTCCTGTTGTGATATTGTCTTTGTAAATCCAGATATGAGCCATGTAAGAATTGACCACTCAAGAAGTTAGTAAACAAATTTGTCCCTAAAGATAATGCCGCGGAAGAAATGCCCATAAAGGGAAATTGACTCCAGCTAGCTTATGTTAAATTCGGCTTTGCATTAAGGGTGAAGACAAAGCAAAAAGCCTTCTTTAGCAACAGAGAAAAGGTGGCGTACCCAGCGTGGACTTGCGGAGCTGGAATGACTCGAAGCACTCCTGCAGGTGACTGTAGCGTTTGGTGAGCTGCTCTTTCTGAAGCTCCAGTTTGGGCTGAAGAGACAGGTTGAGCTCGGCCAAAGTCCTGTTGTTGACCAGCGTCTCCTCTTTGCTCTGCTGCACCTCCTGCATCTGCACAAACCAGAGGAGAGACCGGAGATGACAAAAACAGCTGCAGAAAACTTGGAGATTTACTGTATATTCTGGGTTTCATCTCCCCATTTTTCAGTTTAGTTCACAAAATCACTAGACTCATGAATGAAAATGATTTGTAGAAATATAAAAAGCTTTTTTTTCTTCCTTTTTGCATTTGAATGATAATGGATGATTTGCTGGAAAGTTCTATGTAGTGAAGTCTGATCATTTATGTTCTCTGTACATCAATCTCAAAATAAATAAACAAACCTTCAACTCTTTTATACAGGAGCTATTTGCTTGACTATAAACAATAGCAATTTGACCAAGTGAAAATATTCTACAGGCTGGTAGGCCGGGATTGGCAGGGGTCACTGTGCCGCGTTGGGATTGGCTGAAGTCACTGGGTTGGGAATTGATACGGTTTTTTCTCTTTTTGAGTTTGAATGATGTGCAGTATTGTAATAATTAATTGTAAATGGAGGATTTGCTGGAAAGTTCTATGTTTGATTTACATTTTACATAAAATCTCGATAGAAATAAACACTCAACTCTATTATACAGTTGACATTTGCTTTATCAAACGTTTACATGTGTTCATTGTGAGAAACTCGCCTCCTGGCATTAGTCACTTCACACGTCCTGCCTCCGTCGTGCAATTTGGAATAATGACAAACGGGGGGTCTGTGAAATGCGCCATTAAATTAGAATAGACATTGCCGTCATTTGTTTTCGATCGAGGTTCTCGCCAAAGTTAACGAGCTTCTGGTCCACACACTATCATTTTTGGTTTCCATTTGATTCTCTGATCTGATGGTGGTGAATTGAAAACTATGTAAAGTCCTCTGAGACGCCTGCTGCTGTGATTTGGGGAAATACACGACAAGCAGAGCTCGGACCAGAGTGATATAACTGACAGAGCCATGGGAATTGGTTTGTTGTGGTTAGGTTGCTAGGATATGGTACTAGATCAGGGCTTAGAGTTCATACATAATATGTATCTGTTATAATATATATAATATGAATATAAATTATATTTATATGTACAGTATGTGTAATATAATCACGAGAGGGACTTGAATGTGCCGTTGTCACAGCTACTTTAGCACTCCGCAAATGAATCAAGGCACTGGGACGAATGAAGACGCTGCCAAATTAGCAATGGCAAAACGGAGGAGAAAGTTTCTGGCAACTGCACGGAGCTTTTGAAAAGAAAAAGAGGAGAAGAGGAGAAGTAAATTGAATCCCGAACGGAGCAATAACAGCCAGCAGCCCCGGTACAAGCTGGGCACGTTATAGACGAAAGGTAGGACATAATTTATTAACATTAACCAAACGCAACACTTTTTTATTTAACGGAATGTACAATACTTTGCTGGGACTATAAATGGGGACAAAGATGTCTTGGTTGCGACCAAATGCAAAACTCAGCGTGATATAAAAGAGCCAATCAACGAGAGCGAACGGAAGAAACTTGCTGAAGATCGTTGTGGTGTAGCGTGTTAGCGCATCTTATATTCATTTATCAAAGCTAGCCTAGCATGCACGCACAATCACAACCATGGATTCGTTGTTTATGGAAGAAGGAGCACAAGTTGCAATTGATAACGGAGTGAAAAATAAATGGAGGTGGGCATGGCTGGATGAGGTGGGAGACGATGGGATTCCATTGCGGTCATGGTGCAAAAAGATTAATGTGGCTGGTGCTTGTACGTACTTTGCCATAAAAAAACAACTGTATATGGGAGTCTGATACTAGGCTTGCTATGGTGGACCGTGTCTGATCTAAAACTAAGTCTGTGGCTTTATCGCAGAAAATAACGTTGTTCAGAATATCACTACTGCTGGAAAATGTAATTAAATCATTTGCGGTTGATCAAAGTGCACTATCAAGGTTGACCATTTCAAATTCACATGCGTCATACTTCTGCACACATGGCATGGCACAACAATATAAAGAAGAACTAGCCACCAACTTGATAGGAAACCTTTTTCTTTAAACATTAACGAGTCCACAAACAAAAATGTGGACAGAATTTTGAATGTCCTTTTGCGATATTTTGACGTGGACAGAGCCAAAGTGTTGACGCTACATCTCGCCTCAAGTAAAGCCAATGTTCCGGATGCAACTTCTCTCACTAATATTCTGTCAAAAAGTTGACAAGTTGCTTGATCCACTTGTAATTTCACATCAAAATATACACCTGTTTAAATGTATATCTTTGAAGAATTCATTTGATCTGTAATTCATTATACAATAATATATTGTAATTAAAAATATATCTTGGTCCTGCATATGACTCTGATTTACAGCATGTGATACATTTCCATGAGAAAATGTTCAAATATTTTTTTTTTTGCTTTAACCCCTGTACTAGATACTATAAGCGTAATGGCAACGCAACCAGGTAGAGTAGAGCAGAGTAGAGTAGAGTAGAGCAGAGCAGAGCAGTGGAGTTTAGTCTGGCACCCAAAATATCCGCAGTAAATTACAGTAATATAAATCTAAAGCAGACAGCGATTCGTAAGAAATCTTTCTTTATATAGCGCCTTTCAAAGACCACAAAGCGCTTTACAATTGTTGTGGGCATTTGTCTCTCACTCCACACAGAGATGGGAACGAGGTCATCATACAGGAGGTGCATGCCAGACCTATTGTACATGTTTTTGGTGGTAGTGGAAACCGGAGCACCTGGAGGAAACATACGCAGACACAGGGAGAACATACAAACTGATGGTGGTGGGATTCAAACCCAGTCCCTTCTTATGCTGCATGTATCTATAGTAGATTACACTTACTACTACAGCTGCTCACAGGTCTCTCCAAACGAGCTGTAAAACATGTGCTCCTGCTGGTCCCAGAGTCAGAACTAAACATGGGGGAGGCAGCATTTCAGATTTATGCAGCTAAAATCTAGAACAGTCTTCCTGAAAATGTGAGACAGGCTCCTTCTGACAATATTCAAATCCAGGTTAAAAGCAGTTCTGTTTTAGCTGCAAACAATTGAAGGATTTCATCTTGACTCATTTTGATGTAATGTGATTATTTATGTGATTATTATTTATGATTTTTAACGTCTTGCATTGTTTCCATCTTATTTTGTAAGCGCTTAAGGGTTGCCTTGTGTAAGAACTGTGCTATACAAATGAACTTGCCTTGCCTTAAGTTGGATGGAAAACCTGATAAAGTGAACCTGATCTGAATGGTTGTTGCTTCTTGCGTATTTAAATATTCAAAGTGTTGTGCACATGTCGCTGTGGTGGTGGATGCTATTGTCCTGGCGGCAGAAAACATCTCTGCACAGTTCCCATTGCTCTCAGATTTCCGCAGAGCCACACAGGGCCTTTGTTGGCTTCTAACTGCTCGGTAAATAAGGCCCTTGTGTCTGTGTGAACAAGTTTCTGCTCGAGTCGATAAAACTCAAGTCAACAACTGTGGCACATGCAAAGAACACCACTCCACCCCGTGACACAACACAAATGTCTGAAGAGATAAAGCAGCAGAACGAGGACAGGACGGAGTGATGCGACGGTGCCAAACCCTGTCGCTGTTTTTCATACACGAGGATTCACTTTTTACTTTTTGCATTAAGAGCTCCAATGCTGTGGCAAGTATTCAAATGATTTGCCAACCAAAACTAGATACAAAAGTGAGGTCTAATACCATTAACAAGTGAAAAATGTAGCTTTTGAAGAAGAAAATGTAAAATAAGAACAATAATATTGGTTATACACTGTGGTGATAACTACTTAATGTAGCCACAGCTGCCCTGGGACAGACAGAAGCGAGGCAACCATTATGTGCCATTCGACCTCCAGCAACAATTCACAGACTCATTCTAATGTGGGTGAAGTGTCTTGCCTACGGGGACAACCAGTTTGGCACTTTACAGCCACCCCACTGTGGCACCTCGCCTGGCGTTCCCACAGTACGAACCAGGCCCTGCCTGTCTTACCTTCAGAGGTCTGACAGGATCTGACTTGCACATTCAGGTATGGCCACAAAATGTCAGTAGTTGGTGTATAAAATATCTCTGGGGTTGAAAAGTGGAACTTGGATCCCCACTTATTATTTTCATTCATTTATGATGTTATTTATTTATTTGGAGAATAAGCCCCAAGAGGCCTCCTGTTTTTGAGGTGGTTTTCAAAGTGGTATGGTTTTTTCATTTTAAAGAGTCAGTGTACAATAAACATTAGCCAAAGGACAGATACAGGCAGACAAAAACATAATTCATAAAGAACAAAACACAGATATGTTCTATTGTGAATAAAATGTGAATATAATGTAATTCACAGGCTAATATTTGACCAAGATAATGATAAAAGTAACAATAATCATGCGGTTTTACATAGCGCTTTTTTGGACTCTCAAAGACGCTTCACATGTTATTCTTTCACTCCAAAACACAGTGGTGATACAATACAACTACAATACAATTTATTCTTGTATAGCCCTAAATCACAACAGAAGTCATCTCAGAGAACTTAACAAAACCATTGAAAATCAACACAGATCAGAGAAACAACAGTTAAAAGACAAAAAGAATATAACAAGTGATAAACTGCTACTGAAGCCACGGCTGCCATGGGGCACACTGACAAAATGTACGCAAAAGATATATCATTTTAGTCATGGCTTTGTCTTCTACATTGTGTGTGTTTATCTTATGACTACACACAGCCATCGCAGCAACCACACAGGCCATAAATTATATGATCTGGACGTTTGTTAATGAGGCTAGAGTCCACTGCAATCTCACTGAATCATTCAAACTCCTTTGTTAAATATTTACTACATAAATAGCATTAACTGGTAAGATAAGTCAAAGGAAAGTCAGTTTTTGGAGAGCACTAGTGCGTGATTCTCCATAAAATGCAGGTTACAAAATTAACAGAATTTCAATTTACCATGGACTACTACTGTCGCCACAGCTGCCCTGGGGCACACTGACAGAAAGAAGCTAGGCAACCATCGCCAACGACCACCATCAATCACTCATGTACACACCAGACTTTTTCTATGCAATGTGGGACAGTGTCTAAGGTGCCTAAGGACACAACAACACTTTAGCACTTTACACTTGAACCAGGCCCTGCCCCATTAGATCTGATGTGACAAGGCTTTCTTCTTACGCAGTTATGACCACATACCAGTACTTGAACAGGCAGCGAGGCTTTTTGCGCTTTGTGGACAGTTGACATACAAGAAGTCGTCACAGCAAAATAGATATTAGAACAGAAAACATAAGGCCAGATCTAAACATAACAAATATATAAAAAGACAATTTTTCAAAACAATAAATATGAGAACTGTACACTCAATATTTATACTGCACATGAACAAAACTACTAACTGTACTTATCAAAGGCTACTTAAAAAGGTATGTAGGAGGATTTTTCCACTTCCGGGTGGATCATCAAGAGGTCCTCCCAACTGTCAATCATTCTGGGGATACGTGCTCGTCAAATAAGACCAGAGAGTTTTGATCAAAAAAGGAGAGCGGTTCTTTCCAAACCCTTCAGAGAAAATCCTATATACTTTTAAGGCTAATCTTTATACGATATTTTAAAAGGATAACTCACATTCAAACCTTGGAACAAAGTTATTATGAATACCATCACTAGAAATGTCGAAAACAGCCATTCAGAAGCAGCATTTTGATAATTATTACATACATATCCCCAGAACTCAAACTGCAGATCTATACTTTTAAGTTTCGTTTTAGGATGACAACGTGAGAGGCCGGGTTCAGAAAGACCAGGGGTAAAGTTGAAACTCATTTAACACGATTTGAATTAAATACACAAGTAAAGACAGCATTTTAGTGGCACGACTCAGAGATCACTAAAAAAGAACAAGACTAGAACAACACCAAAGCCAGTCCTCATGGGTCCAAACTTGAGATGATGCTAACTCACTTTGGAGTCAAAAACAGCCATTAAAACAAGACTATTAAATAAAAGTGTGGACTCATCTGGTAAAAGTTAAGTAACAAATATATGCAAATGTGTTTCGGTCCATCCCATGATATAGTTTTGTTTATTTTGCTGATAAGGCCACGCGGACACAAAAGGACGTACGACAGAAGCTAGCTAGCAACAGCGACGCTCCTTACGCACCTCGTTCATTTCCTGCACCATTTTAGTGAGTTTTTCGTCGTCTTCCAGGACCTCGTTGAGCTGGGCCATGCTGTAGCCGCTGAAGTTGTCGAAAAGGCTGGACATTTTGGTGGTGTGTGGTTTCTCTCCTTTGTTGTGTTGCTTCCTCCTTCGCCTGACAGCAGCTGACTGAAGGCGGAAGTGTGAGGGGTTTTCCTTTTTTTTTTCTTTCTTTTTTTTTTTTTTTTTTTAAACACGATACAAACAAAACAGGTGCCTTCAAATACAAATCGCTTTGATCATATGCAAAAACACAAACGACAAAACTAAAAAATATATTATTATGCTTAGATGTTTGCTGTTATTTGTAAATGTAAAGGGCATTTATTTATTAATGATAAAAATGTAATAGCGTTCTTAGAATTAATGAAAGTATGAAATTGTTTGAACTCATTCCTCCAATGAGTTCAGGATGCTTTAAAAACACGACTTTTTTGTATGTTAAGTTTAGTAAAAAATACAAGATTGTTAACGCCAAAGTCAAGTTAAACTACGAGAAATACCAAACATTATATCATTATATCATTATTATCAGTCAATCAATCCAATTTTATTTACAAAGCGCTTTTCATACAGAAGATGCAAGACAAAGTGCTTTGGTTAAAAACAATCCCCACATGCCCATGACCCCCTCCTCCCAATAGACCCACCCCAAACCACATATTAAGAACGCACGCATGCGTAGACGCACACACACCTCATACACACACACCACACACACACACACAACATAGACGCACACACATACACACCAGTAAAACCATGAAGGGTGCAGACTATTAGCAGGGTGCAGATGTAGAAGCGCCATCTTAGGAGCCGTCTGCACCAGGAGCAGAGAGCCGCCAGTAGCCACAGACATGATAGCATCATTTGGCAATAGAATTCCTTCTGTCCGTATCCATAGACAGATTCACAAGAGAAAAATAAAGGATACAAATCCTCCGCCTGTCCATGGGCACTTCACTATACATAGTTCCCACAGACCAATGAATGTCACATGACCTCCTCGGAGACGCCATCTTTGATGGCACGCTGCTGTGTTTGTGCATTCCATTAAACAGAAGAATGAGAATAAATGTAGATATTCAAACGCAAATTGGAAAAAAAGGGCAACTTTTGAGCAAATAATTGTATATTAATACAATGGCACCACAGTTTAACGTGCTACGGACATGTTTTACATATTTGATCAAATTATGCAGCAAAAATTAACAAGCAATGCAAACATTTCTCAAAAACTTTAGATTTAATACCAGTTGGAGCTCCATTTAATTATTTTAATTATATTAACAATTAATTTAATTAATGCTAATGCCACACGGACACTCTGGATTGCTGTTATTGTTTATTTCCGCGTTTTTGACCGTATGTTTTGGTGAATGGTGGGCAACTGATTTTTTCAGGCGTAAAGAGCAGTTTATTTTATGACACAGATCTTTTTACAGAAGCACTGCTGTTTGTGAACATTGTTTTAGCCCACCATAGAACTATTATTATCTATTTAATACATTTACGTTGCCCTCGAGAGCCTCGGACGCGACACCGATCCTCCTCATAATAAAGTAATCTAAATAATGAAACTCTCAAGTTACCAGATATCAGCATACACAAGTTAGTACTGAGTAAATTACGTCTGTCAACACATTATAAGATACGATACGCACCTGACACAAAGTGCTCCGAGCATATTCTTGCGTGTTTTGAGGGAGTTTCTTGCCTGTTTATCTTCGCAAGCCATAACCTCCGTGGTTGTTCTGACAAAAGCTTAGTCTTCTCACATTCATGAAGTCTAATGATGGGTATACTGTAAAATCCAAGTTTAACGGAACCTCCGGCACGATTTGAACATCCATTGACCCAGCAGGAGATGACCATTTTCAACTTTATCACGACATTAACACGTTTCAGCTTCTTTTTCTATTGTTTTGCCCACAGAATGCCAACACAAATGGCGCCGGGTCGGCAAATCCCCGTATGTAGTGACGTCATGTGGGAACTACGTATTGGGCTTTCATCTCCAGAAGTCCTCAGAACTTACCACGTGGGGCTGGGCCTTTAAACCGTCACCTGTCACGGGCTCAGCATTGCCTGTAGAGAAGTAGGTCTTATCTACACACCCTGACAGCATTGTGGTTGTTTAGCTAACTAACTCTACTTTAACCCATAGGCTGGGGACTGGCAACATCGCGGCCCACCGCTGTTTCTTCCTCCGTTTCTCCTGTTTCTCTCCTTGTTCTTCCGTGTTTCTGGTTGTGTGTTCACCTGTGCTCCTGAGTCCTTCGTGACAGGAGGATGTGTGCTTGTGATTATTACAGTGGCGGAGCCAGAGGGGTAGCCAGGGTGGCCACTGCCACCTCTAAAAATATCCTTGCCACCCCCAGTGCCCCCCTCGGAAGACGGCAATGTAATAATGTTAATCTTGAGAATCTTCCGCACTTTTTCCGCCAAAAGCTAAAAATTCCCACGGTTTCCCCCGTCTGTGAACACACCCTGACTCCGTGTGGAGCCGGTGGTGTTGGACTCACATGTGCCCAAGTCGTGATGAAAACAAAGAGGTAAGTTAGCGATGCAGAGCCAACCGTTTACATTTGACACACTGCAGCGCATTACTTGTTCAGTTTGTAGAACTTTTAGTGTGTGTATGTGTGTGCGTACCTGTGTGCGTGCCTGTATGCGCGCCTGTGTGTGTGCGGGCCTGTGTGTGCCATGGCACACACAGGCACGCACACAGTGTGGGTCTGCGTGCCTGTGTGCTTGTGTGTGCGTGCGGGGTGCATGCGTGTGTATTTTCCATTATTAATTGCCCATCGTATCATCGCCCTCTTCCCTTTAGTGTAAACATGAAAAGAAAAGGAGGAAACATTGCCTACAGGCCTTTTTTTGTTTGGAAAAGGCCTGTAGATCAGGATGATGAAACCTCACCTGAAGGTCAGACTCGGAGATGCTGAGGAATTTGTTTTGTTGTATTAAAATATAGCTTATATAATTGAGTTTCAGAGAATGAGAGGGTGTCGCAGACAAGTGCGGGATTGTCTATTGGCAGAAGGCGTTTTTTCACACACAAAAAAGAAAAAAAATAGCTAAAATGATGTGCAGTCGCTTAACCCCAAAATATTTTTGAAAGAAGAGCCCCTGTTTTCATTTGGCAGAACCTTTGAGTCAGATATAGAGGACCTTAAGCATGAGGTACGTCAAACTAGGCGGCTTCTTGGGAGGAAAAAATGGATTAGAGAGACCCTATTGGACTTCCTTGTCCTTTTGGAACGTTTGGAAAGTGTTTCATGAGCTTTTGAGGCTTGCAAAGATCTTTTTAATGCCTGTCAGTACTGCGTCTTGTGAAATAAGTTTCTCTGCCCTAAAAACTATCTCAGAACGACCATGGCAGATGATTGAGTCATCTTGGTATCCTCAGTGTAGAGTCAAGGAGGGCTAAATATGGATGAGTTTGTCAACATCTTTGCTGCTTTACACCAGAACCGCAGGAATTTGCTAAATTTGTTAAAGAAAAATGTAATGCAATGTTTGAATTATGTTATTTTGCACTTTTTTGTTCAGACTACTATTTAAATACACTTTTTTGCTTTGTAGTTTCCAAGTGTGCTCTCAGTTCACTTTATATTAAAAATAATGACAAGATTAAGATTAAAATGTATCGTTTAGCCAGTTTTTGTGTGAAATAAAATTTCGGAATAGTATAAATGTGGACCCCTTAAAAAAACCCTTGCCACCCCCTGGCCACCCTTTGTTTAAAAGTCTGGCTCCGCCACTGGATTATTAATGAAATGTAACAGAACCATAGACTGTCAACAGAACCCATTTGAATGAAAAGAACTGAACTAAACATAACATAATAAATCCTAGTAATGTAATGTCTGTCTATGCCTCTCATTATGATAAACGAACCTTTTGCGCCTTTGCGCGCTTTTTATTTTATTTTGGGCACTCTGCCCTGGCGTTGCTGGTCTTTTTCTTTCTTTTATTTATTGGATATTATTTTATGAGCGCGTTGCAGCCTCCACTTGCCACACATATGTGACCGAAACAGAACTCACAAAACATTTACTGAAAAACATCGATTTAGGAATACGATTTTCAAACTTGATCGTCAAATACACTGATGACACCACCATCATTGGTCTCATCAGTGAGAACGATGAATCCTCTGAAAGAACAGAGATCAAACATGTTTTTCAGTGGAGTAAAGTAAACAATCTCCGGCTGAACACAGCAAAAACGTGTGAACTTGTTTTTGATTTCAGTTGCAACAGTTCTGTTGTTATTGACAAATCCCAGGTGCAGATTTTAGAAGTTTCTGGGTTTAACTCTGTCAAACGACCTGAAATGGAACAAAAACACTAACCAGATTGTTAAGAAAGCTCGTCAGCGGCTTTTTTATTTATTTACGGAAACTTAAAGAATTTTCCACTAACTCTAAGATTCTGCTTAACTTTTATCGCTGCACCATTGAGAGTTTGCTTGTTGGTTCTGTGACTGTGGTTTGGAAACATCACAGATATCCAAGGTGCTCCGGTCTGCAAAAAGGGCCGTGGGCTGTGAGCTTCCTGTTCTGGAGGTTCCTTATGAATCCAGACTTTTATACCGGGCATTTAGAATTATCAATGACTCTGTTTGCCACCCCGGTAAAGCCTTGTTCCAGCTTCTTCCCGCGGGCAGAAGATATTGGTCGCTGAGATGCAAGACATCTCGCTATGCTAACAGCTTCTTTCCACAGGCTATTAGGTGTCGAAACAAAGCACTTTAATGTTGTTTTCACTCCTTGTATCGGTTTTTGTCGATCGGTGCCACAGTGTCAGCTGTTTGTATTTATGTTCAGTGTTTGTGTATTTTATATTACATTATTTTGTGCTCTTTTTTCTGTTGGTGCATACAGGGGACCTTTTTTTTGCTTATGTAAAACAATGTGTTTTTTATGCTGCACATGGCCAATAAAATGAATCTGAAAACCACAGAATAGTTAGTGGTTGACACAAAAATGTTGCTTCAACAAGTACAGTGCCTTGCGAAAGTATTGAACCTTTCAACATTTCGCCACATTTCAGGCTTCAAACATAAAGCTATACAAATTAAATTTTTTGTCAAGAATCAAAAACAAGTGGGACACAATCGTGAAGTGGAACGAAATTTATTGGATAATTTAAACTTTTTTAACAAATAAAAAATTGAAAAGTGGGGCGTGCAATATTATTCGGCCCACTTGCGCTAATACTTTGTAGTGCCACCTTTTGCTGCAATTACAGCTGCAAGTCGCTTGGGGTATGTCTCTATCAGTTTTGCACATTGAGAGACTGGAATTCTTGCCCATTCTTCCTTGCAAAACAGCTCGAGCTCAGTGAGGTTGGATGGAGAGCGTTTGTGAACAGCAGTCTTCAGCTCTTTCCACAGATTCTCGATAGGATTCAGGTCTGGACTTTGACTTGGCCATTCTAACACCTGGATACGTCTATTTGTGAACCATTCCATTGTAGATTTGGCTTTATGTTTTGGATCATTGTCCTGTTGGAAGATAAATCTCCATCCCAGTCTCAGGTCTTTTGCAGACTCCAACAGGTTTTCTTCAAGAATGGTCCTGTATTTGGTTCCATCCATCTTCTCATAAATTTTAGCCATCTTCCCTGTCCCTGCTGAAGAAAAGCAGGCCCAAACCATGATGCTGCCACCACCATGTTTGACAGTGGGGATGGTGTGTTCAGGGTGATGAGCTGTGTTGCTTTTACGCCAAACATCGTTTTGTATTGTGGCCAAAAAGTTCGATTTTGGTTTCATCTGACCAGAGCACCTTCTTCCACATGTTTGGTGTGTCTCCCAGGTGGCTTGTGGCAAACTTTAAACAAGACTTTTTATGGATATCTTTGAGAAATGGCTTTCTTCTTGCCACTCATCCATAAAGGCCAGATTTGTGCAGTGCACGACTGATTGTTGTCCTATGGACAGACTCTCCCACCTCAGCTGTAGTTATCTGCAGTTCATCCAGAGTGATCATGGGCCTCTTGGCTGCATCTCTGATCAGTCTTCTCCTTGTTTGAGATGATACTCCTTCCATTTCAATATAATTGCTTGCACAGTGCTCCTTGAGATGTTTAAAGCTTGGGAAATCTTTTTGTATCCAAATCCGGCTTTAAACTTCTCCACAACAGTATCTCGGACCTGCCTGGTGTGTTCCTTTGTCTTCATGGTTCTCTCTGCGCTTTAAACAGAACCCTGAGACTATCAAAGAGCAGGTGCATTTATTTATCATCATCAGTCATTTAGGACAACATTGGATCATTCAAAGATCCTCACTGAACTTCTGGACTGAGTTTGCTGCACTGAAAGTAAAGGGGCCGAATTATATTGCACGCCCCACTTTTCAGTTTTTTATTTGTCAAAAAAGTTTAAATTATCCAATAAATTTCGTTCCACTTCACGATTGTGTCCCACTTGTTGTTGATTCTTGACAAAAAATTAAAATTTAAATCTTTATGTTTGAAGCCTGAAATGTGGCGAAATGTTGAAAGGTTCAAGGGGGCCGAATACTTTCGCAAGGCACTGTAAATTGGGAGATGGTTCTAGTTTGAATAACAAATCAATGTTCTAGCTCATCTTTTGATTTTCTGTTTTCAATCTTTGTGAAATTAATAAAACATTCTCACAAATAACAAAACCTTTTCAATTACAATACAGGCTTTCGTAGATACTTGTAGTAAACAATAACATTAATGTAAATGATAGATTTTGTATTAAGAATTGACAAAACTGGCAACCCAAATGAGAGACTCATTCTGGTCTCTGATTGGATAATCTTCTTGAAAACACATAAACATTAAGATTAAGAAGAGCTGCTTTAGTTTCAGAGTAACCTAACCCTGATCTTTAGATGATCTACAGTATGACATAATGAGGATCACTTAGTTCTAAGTTTTACAATGAGGTAAATCTAGTCTTTACTGATGCCTTGGAACATATGTTTTTGATCGCAACGGCTAATTATAGATTAGCAAAGCAGAGGGCCACATAAAATGACCTAGTTTGGACATGTCTCATGCTTAAACATATTATTTTAGATCCATGATTAAACACCACAAGATTTTCTCTTTTTATTATTTTGTAAGAATTATTAAAATGTACAAAAAGACGTCACATAATACAACAAAACAATATATTATCTGCGATCGATGGCTCCACAACAGTCAGTCAGTGAGGGCAAACAGCATCTATCGAGCCTTTCTTCTTCGTATTCACAAAACAACAATGGTAAAAAACAATGACAAATGGTGGTTTTTGTGGAGGGGCTGTTCACCAGGCTGGGGCTGTATTCGCCAGTCGCCGCATTCGCCTGCGGAGGAAAAGCCAAAAGCAACAATCAGGAAAAGAGAAGAATGCTCTGTGTATATGTATGTAAGTACATACATATAAATAATTGTATAATTGTATATACATGAAATCACAATCAAACCACCTGCCATTTAACTAATTTACAGTACATGTATATTAATGCCAGGCTATGACTGTTGCCCCCTGCAGGGGGCAAAGACTGAGTGAGTCTTCTATGGAAAGCAGCATCAGTGACAGACTTATCTACCCTCGATGTGTGAGGGAGAGGTCCCGCAGGTCCTTCCATCCTGCTGCTGTCAGATTGTACAATGAGAACAGCTGAGCCTGGACATGTGCCGTTCCCTACTCTGATAATTCACTAATCTGGGGCGACAGTAGCTCAGTTGGTAGAGCATTGGCCTTTTAGCCAGAAGGTCGTGGGTTCACCATCGAATCCCTCTGTCTGCTGTTGTTGTGTCCTTGGCAAGACACTTAACCTCTGGGAACACCTGATGCCACAGTGGGGCGTCTGCGGCTTTAAAGTGCCAAACTGCTGTTGTGTCCTTAGGCAAAACACTTCACCCCCATTGCCTAGAATGAGTCTGGTGTGTGTGTGAATGGTTGGTGGTGGTCGGAGAGGCCGATGGGACATACTGGTTGCCTCGCTTCTGTCAGTGTGCCCCAGGGCAGCTGTGGCTACAGTAGTAGTTTATTACCACCGTGTATGGAGTGAATGAATGATGACATGTAAAGCGGTTTGAGTGTCCAAAAAAAGCGCTATATGAAACCGATGCATTATTATTATTATTATTTTTAATCTGAGGATTTTTTCTTCTTTTTTTGTCTGTAGAGTGCAACTATGACATGATTTCTTCCCACTGAGGGACGTTTTAAGGTTAATTTTAATTTCACATTGTTTGAAGTTATTGTAAAGAATAATCTGTGAAATGAAGTCGTAACAGGAGGTTTTGAAAGTGCATGTGGCGGTTTGTCCCTGACCTGGTGTTTCTGTCCTGGTCCCGGATCTTCTTCTCCATCTCTGCGTCTGTGAGTGTCTCCAGCAGCGGGCACCACTGGTCTGCGTCTCCTGTGTTTCGGATAGCAATCTCCACTGTCGGCAGCGGGTTCTCGCTGAAAGCACACACACGTCAGACTCAATAAAACAACAATAGGACACACATACACACTTTGTTCCTTGAAATGCTTAAATATAGAAGTTTAGGAACTGGTTTAACGCAGTAGAACCCTCACTTACAAATATGCAACGTAAAGTTCAAAGGGCAAATTAAGACTTTTTGGTTTCATTATTTTAGTAATGGATCATTCTAGGGATGATTATCATTATTAATTGATTAGTTGCAGAAGGGTTTTGCACACGTCTCCATCAGCTGTTGATGACCTTTTTCAGGTCATAGAACTTATCATTTTAACTCAAAGTTTTAGTCCGAATGGGACACAAATTTATAGTGAAAATGGATGAACCAGAGAGTTTTGATCAACATGCCTTTAACAGCCTTTTATGCCTGTTAAATGTATAAAAGGATTCTATTTCTTTAGGAAAGAACTGCCCTCCTCGAAGGAACACCTATTAAAATGTGTCTCGTATTATCATCAGAATGATTGACAATAAGGAGGAACAATAATTTAAATGATCCAGCCGGAAGAAGAAAATCCCATCTAAACAGTTGTGTGTCGTCTGTCACTTTGCTCCATCAGCTGTTGGTGAAGTTTTACATTTCAACCTGAAAACCTGCAGCTTTAATTCAAGTACGGCGTATGAGTGAACAAAGTACTTTGTTTTAAGATGGAGCTGGTGTGGTTTGTAAACGGGTACACTCGACAGTCCAGAAAGTCAGCTGAAGTATGTACATGTTTACAGTCTGTTTATAAAACAGCTCTTTATAATCAAATAGTTGATTTATTGTGAGTAATTGATTAATCATTACAGCTCTACAATACATCCCAAATCCCTGAACATTCAGGACACAGGACCTTATTACAGGTTATTATTATGTTTTGTGTAGAACCAGTTGTAATGAATGGCTTTTGAGCGGGTCCCAGCTCAAAAGTGGCCAAAATGACGTGCGCTGACATGCTTGCAATACCACCCCGGGCCGATGGGGGTGGACCCGGAATAAGAATTAGCCAATGCTAACATATAGCATTGGCAGACCTCTCAAAAACGTCTTTACAGGATGGTCCAAAAACTGGCTCTTGGCCCAAAGCTCCGTTCCACATGTGTGTCAATGCTGAGGGGGGTGAATTTTTTTGATCCACTCTAGTTTACTCGCTGTGAATTTCTCGTTCAAAAGTCTCTCGTTCAAATGAATGGAGCTCTCAGCGGCTGACGCATGCGCAGATGCGTTTTTTCACAATTTTCTTGTGGGCGGGACCACTCACGGCCATTATGGATAGCTCCAGTAGAGCACATTTTTGGGCCCATTAGTTAGAACGGCGGAGATAGCCATGACTACGTCCATTAATTTTTACAGTCTATGTTGCAACTTGCCGTTTAATAAATACACAAAAACAGAGTGCAATCTGGTGGATGTAATACGCAAACGTAAATGACCAGATTAAACTTAGAAAACACACAAGTGAAACAGATAGATGTTTAATTAAGAATCGCAATATATAATACTTTCCATATCACAATACTGAACAGAATTGATTTTCCCCCACCACTAGATGAGAGTGGAGTAGAGTAGAGTTGGTGGAAAGGGGCCAATATATAAACACATGACTCTAAAGCCTAGCGTACATCGACAGAGAAACTGGGGACAACTAGTTGCAAGGCGGCTTTTGGCAACTGAGAGGAGATGGTGGGAGATGATCAGTTGCCGAAATCGGTCGATGTGCGCGCTCTTACAACTGGAGATGATCAGTCGGTCTCCAGTTCCAGTCAGTTGCCCGTGTTCTACTTTTCGGCAACTAGTTGTCCTCAGTTGCCCCGATGTGCGCGCTCCATGCGCCGCTCCAACAACGTGTGTGTATTGCGTGTATTGCGAGCCCGCAACAGTTTGTTGTCAGAAAACACCCTGTAGTTGAGGCCAGTTGCTGTCGATGTACGCGCTGTTATTCAAGAGACTGGCCTGCGACTCAGAGTTGCCCGTTTTCGTCAGATTGTCGATGTGTGCGGGGCAGCAACTCAGAGGCGACGGATATAATCAGTTGCCAGTCCGATGTACGCTAGGCTTTAGTGTTGTGCGAGTACCTGAAAGCGTAGGTTCTCTGGTGCCAGCTCAGTTGTCCCCTGATGCTGTAGGCGATGGTGGTGACGAACTCTCCTCCGAGGCCCAGCTCCGAGCACAGCTTCAGGGCAAACTTCTCCGGAGAGTTCTCCCGCTCCGACATGTCCCACTCAAACTGGTCCACCAGCGAGATGTTCCCCACATGGATGTTCAACTGCGGACAGAAAACACGACTTTGAGCTGAAGTAGACATTGAGGACGAACGAAAACTGCTGAGTTAGCCTGGTCTTATCCATCCGTAAACTCTGGTCCATGATCATTTCCTGCATGTACGTCTGGGTCTGATCCTAGTGGCTGCAATTTCCTCGGTTGAATCCCCTCCGACCAATCAGAGAGGGGGGGAGGAGGGTGTTGTAGGTCGATGTTGGTGAGGTCAAGAGTTTGCGCTGAATTTGCTGATCGAAGTTTGGTGGCGAATGCGATAGTAAAGTAATCTGTTCTGGTTCAATCCAAATATCAAGAAATTGAAGCCGAAGCAAGAGGAAGTTTTAGCAAATGTCATTGCTGCAAAGATGTTGTGGCTCTACTCCCCACAGGCTCCGTTAGTGGCAAAGGAGATGGCTAAAGCTAGGCTAAATGCTAAAGCTATCGTTCATGTTAAATACCTGATTCACTCTCACATCACGTAAACTCAGATCCAATCGTTTCAATCTGAAAAAGGAGTTACCTGACCTTACCTCACATGTCGTACATCAGTCCAATAATTTGAGTTCAGAATGAGCAATACAGAACCACATGTGTCACTTTACTGAGTCACTTTGTCTCAGACCCTCATGCTGCTCACATGCACAGATGTAAACATACATTATATTTATAACAACTAGGGTTATCAAACGAATACAATTTTTTAGTTGATTAATCGCATAGTAATGCATTTTTTAACATTCTAATTATCTCATTTAACTTCAATTGGAGTGGATTTTAATCAAATTTAATGACACATTATCATTCCTATCAAATGTACTTCAATCTGTTTGATTTGCTCACAACCTTTTACTTTGGGCACAACCAACATCAGCTGTTAATGAAAGGGAAAATGTACGTACCACAGCTTTAATTTAGGGAGTTTAGTTGCGTATCAGGAGGAGACACGGACACTTCCTGAGGCTCCCTAATTTCAATAGAATAAGAATATACAGTATTTTATGGTGGCTTCTTGATTAGGCTAAAGTCAGAGATTGTATACTTAATTCTTGCTTCTTTATTATGCTAAAGCGAGAGGTTTTATTTTATCATTGTATAGAATTATTGTTCATTTATCTTGTGCTGTGTGTTCCTCATTCCAACGGTTCTGTAACTAGTGATGCAGCACTGAAATTTCCCCACTGTGGGACAAATAAATGATCTAGAAAATAGTTTACTTTTTAATTGTGAAGAACATTTTAAAGTGAGACGTGCCCATCCTCCTCCCCATCCTCCTGGTTAGATTAAAGGAAGCTAGTATATGGCCACACCTGCGGAAGCCAGCTGTGTCCTTAGGCAAGACACTTCACCCACATTAGAATAAGTCTGGTGTGTGTGTAAATGGTTGGTGGTGGTCAAAGGGGGCGATGGCACAGACTGGTTGCCTCGCTTCTGTCAGTGTGCCCCAGGGCAGCTGTGGCTACAGTAGTAGTTTATCACCACCGTGTCCTGAAAAGCGCTATATAAAACAAATGCATTTTTATTGAAGTAATTTAAACCCTCTCTATTGGTCTAACAATTCCACTCCAGCAAATATATTTAAGAGAGTCAGTTCCATCAGATTTTGAACTTTAAATGTACTTGAATTTTTTTGTTTTGAAAAATATCTCTCTCTGACCGTCATGGCCTTGTTGTAGTAAAGAGACTAAAGAGTTCTGCGCTGACCTTAATGATGACTCTCTGGTCCATCTGCTCGTCCAGGATGCTGTCCGTGGGGTAGGACTCTATCTGTTGTCGGATGGCGGAGGCGATGGCCGGGACGAACGCCAGAGGATTCAGGTCCAGGTCGTCGCACAGGATCTCGGCAAACATCTCCGGAGTCATGAGCTTCTCTGCAGCCACACCACACGTCAATTCCAACACTAGGCCAATTTACACCAAATTTCACCCAAGGGACTAACTCTAGTGTAGTCTAGTGTATGTCCCTTCAGCTGTTTGGGTCATGGCACATCTTTTCCATTGAAAGCATTCACACGGCACACCACCAGCTAAAAACAGCTATAAAAACAAATCCGTAATAAAGCCTGCAGCCTGTATTAACAATAAAATATCATTCTCATCAGAGAATCACATGGATGATTGACTGGATTGGCTGTTCTGAGCTTTAAAATGAGGTATGACATGACATTGGTTCAGATTTGATGGGGCTGAAGTTGGCTGAACGACTACCAGATACATCAGTGCCATGCTATCAAAAAGAAATGCAGTGTTGTGCCAGTTCACAGCTTCAGTTCATACATGCTCAAAGTGAACAGTTCACGTTCAAAGTTCACAATTTTAATTCTGAACAAGTTCAAAGTTCAGTTCATTTTACTTTTTCGTGAGATACTTAAATACATATTTTTTTCACACTACAAGCTATATATATATATATATATATATATATCTCCTGTACACCCACAGGACGAGAGCCTTTTGACTACAAAACAGACCAGATTTATATGGTTTTCAATGGGAGCAAAACGGAGTTGCCCCATCTCTGCTCATAAACTACAGACAGTAATGCGCTGTAGTGCGTGTGTCTATACTTTGTGTCAAATGTAAACGGTGTAAACTTTGTCGCTAACTCACCCTGTGTTTTCATCACGACTCGGGCACATGTGAAAAGCACCAGCTCACAGCGCCACACCGCAACACGGAGTCGGGGTGCGTTCACAGACGGTGGAAACCGTAGGAATTTTTAGATTTCGGCGGAAAAAGTGCGAGAATACAGGAGAGAGGAACTTTCTCTCGTTGCGTTTCAAAAGAGAAAACAGATTCCAACGTTCATAGTGATGTCTGCCGTTCATGACACATAAAATGAACTAATTCACGTTCAAGTTCTTTTTTAAAAAAAAATGTGCGTTCAGTTCAATGTTCACGAAAAAATGAGCGTGTTCAATGAACGCGTTCTTTTGAACTCGTTCACGCACAACACTGAAGAAATGTCAGTATAGTCAAACGTCAAGTCAAAGTCTAACCCGTCCTAAAGTCCACAGCTGGATTCCAGAGTGTAACATGCCTATGTTGGCAGGGCTGAAGCAGGCTGGATGACACTGTGAACGTGTGCTTATGATCTCAAAGACTACTGTGGGAGAGGGCCTCATAAATGACATGGAGGGCCACAATTGACCCGCAGGCCTTAGTTTGAATGTGTTTTTGTTTGTTCCATGCAGTTTTGTTTTTCTCGTTACTGTTTGGATGTGCACATGTAAATCAACTTGTTCTATATGTTCAAATATGTTGTCATTATTAGCTGCAGAAATAACAGCTGTCTGGATTTGAGAAAGAAACAAGTTTAACATCTGTACTGTAGCGCCCCCCAGAGGATGCAAGTGTGCCACTACAATGTTTTTTGTCTAAATGTGATGCTTTCGGATGTGATGCAGCATGTTTAGGCCTTTCTGTTGAAGATGCAGTAAGCGATGTTGTTAGCTTAGCCGTAGCACCAACTGGAAACCCCTCCCCCCTCCACCAAACCAAACATCCAGCATTTTATTTTCTTTGTCACAACAGGGAGAGTGGGCGGCAAACGTGAAATTGGCATTTTCTGTTCAGCCCTTTTAGGTTTTAGAAAATCCGATAACTCAGGTGCACTCGTGAGAAACAGGAAGAGGGTGAAGGGGGTAAACACATCCCATTGGTTTATACTGTATTTATAGGTCTGCTCCATAATATTGTTTATACATTTTTGGAGACTATAGGCATCTGGTCAATTTCATTACTATTGAAAACACATGATAACTTGACTACTTTTAGGGTTTAGGGACGTTTTCCCACAATATTTAAAAAAAAAAAGGGTCTGGAAAAAAAATCACTGGCTGTATCTTTCAATGTTTGTTAAAGGTTCCTGTACCGTTCATGTTCCAGGTGAAGGCATCTCGGAGTTTTTGTCCTTCGATCTCCATGTCGAGGCGGATCGGCACCAGCACTTCAGCCTGAGTGGCATTTTCGTGAATGACAGCCGGGTCATGGTCATCAAAACTGACGGAAAGAAGAGGTTCTGTCAGCGTCCCTCCAGTAAGAAGACTTATACAGTGATAAGTGATGTCACGTTGCAGTGGGAGGCGGAGGGTGTAACGTGTCAGCATGTGGATTATTGGTGGTGTCAGAGAGGTTTCTATCAGTCTGCTCATGCGAGTTTTGTGAACCGCCACAAAGGATGAAGTAAATTAAAAATGTGTTGAAAATACTATAAAAGTCTGATGCATGAGTATCCTTGCGGAGTCTCATTGTCTATTCTTGTAAAAAAGAAAAAAAGAAATCACAACTCATAATTGTTATTTTCTTATGAAAATTAGCTGTTTGCATCTTAAAAGAACTTCATAAAATACCTAAAGTAGCAATATGTAGGATTTTCATGTCAAGTAATCATATAAGGGCCTGTCAAAAGGCATTAATAAAACATGCTGATAACAGTTTTACAGCCCATTATCTTGTTATTGTTTTCATTTCTATGTCCCGCCAGCTACCGTTTTAAAAAATAAAATAAAAAGGAAAATAATAAATAAAAGAATTCACCGCGTCGAGCTTATCTCACTGGTAAAGTACCATGTGGCCGCAGAACTAAAAAGGTCTCGTTATGATTTTCAAATCATTAACGACAAAACAAGGAATAAAACCAGGATTTCTATCTTTGTGAAAAATGTGTTGGTTATAGATTTGTTGTTGACAAAACTCAGTCTATTCAGATATTACGTGCCAGCTGGATTCATCTGCATATCTGGCAACTTGAGTCAGGGAGAGTGTGAGAGGACTACAGAATATTGGCCGTGGTTGCAGTACCACTTTTGGCCAAATTTTTACATATTGTTAGATTGAGATTAGAAGTAAATGTATTTGGTCCACAAACAATACAAATTCTTACTAGTACATGTAAGTTCTAGTCCGGGGCCTCAGTGGAATCCAGTTTTAAGATTTAAAGAAATGGGTGGAGTCTGGTGTGCTCCTGCTCAGGTTGGTAGTTGGAACTAAAACCTGCAGCCACACCTGCCCCGCTCACCCCTGAAACCTAGCAGTAGTATTTACCAGAGAGGGAAGGTCCTCTTCTTGTCTCGTCCCACTCGGCTGCGGTTGATGGTGGTGGAGCAGGGAACAGCGTCCAGATGATGGGAGCTGTTTGGTAACGTCGGAACCCACTGAGTGTTCCTCTTTGCCTTCTGCTCCCTACAACAACAAACAGGGAAGAAGTCAGGGCCGTGTGTGTAACCAAAGACTAGTAAACTGTATTTATGATGAAGATATTTTGACACATCTGTTTAGTGCGGTCCATACTTGATGTAGGCTGGGGGCTCGGCGATGGACACGGCTTTGTATTTCTCATCATTTCCTTCCAGAATCTCCTCCACCTCCGAGGCTTTGAGTAGAGTGACGCTGGTGGCCAACTGTGTGTATCCATGATCTAGATCACGCCACATACAAGCGACATTGAAGTTATGTCCTAAATATTAGCAAGTACACATGATAACTGGCTCTTGGAAATAAAATCAATGTAATGAGTTATCTCTGTATTGTAAATCATGGGTGTCAAAGTCAAGGCCCGGGGGCCAGATCCAGCCCGCAAGACCATTTTTAGTGGCCCCTAAAATTATTTTTTATTATTATACGGCTCCTCACAGCAGCAGTAGAACGCTCCTTTGATTTGAATATAATTTCCAAACGTTCTACCGGTCATTTTTTCTTGATAACTGACCTCTCAAAACAATAATGACCGCTGCCCTTTGGTAACGCACCCTCTGCTTGTAATTCCGATGTGTAGATTACTCCGCAAGTAGTTCCGGCCACTCCGGAGCTAGCCACACTCAATAAACCAATCAAAAAGCAAATATCAATCAATCAACACATTTAAATGTTAATCGGAGAATACATTATACATATATATTCTTAATACGCGTGCTCAGAGGTTTTCAGAATTATCCGTTAAGGTTTTCATGACAAAAATACTGTTTTAATGCAAGAAAAAGCGATTACAATAAACCTGGAAGTACGTTCCGGGACATTTTAGGAACATTTGCAGAGGATCTCATTATGGATTTATTTGAGTTTATGTGTCATTCACCGCTAATGTACAGAATTCTTTGTTCAGTTTTCATGCAGTTCAAGAGAGTTCTAGTTTGGAAGTTGCTAGCCTAACTGTTACTCACATAGGGTTACTTATCATCAACTTGCAGCATTGACGGTAATGGGCGACCAAGGAAGGTTATGCATCTATTTTCTCAGGAAATCAACCAAATGTAATGTATTCTAACATTTTAACCCAATAACACATCATTAGAAGTGAAATAGTTCAATATATGATATGTTTAACTTTATATTTGATCCAGTTTTGGTTCAATCTAAACAATAAACACATTTTATTTTTAGAAAAATAAACCAGAAAATAAAAGTGAAACTCATGTCACATTAAAGTCATGTTAGAATATCTTCATGATGTAAAAAACTATGATAAGAAAAGGAAATCTCTTCAATTGTTTCAGCCCCTGACCAAAATGAGTTTGACACCCCAGCTGTAAATAATATTATCTTATTATTATTATAATTTTTATTTCCAAATTGTTACTTTAATGTTATTTTTATTGTGAAAAACTATGCGACCAAGTCTATTCACATCCATCTACCACAATTACTGGACCATCAACTGCTACTTTTTCACTTGCTTTGAACCCTGCCGCCAATATAATGTGATGGGCTGATATAGTGTCACGTTACATGAAAACCTGCGGCTTATATTCAAGTGCAGCTTATGTCTGGACAAAATGTACTTCCTTTTCGAATTTAGCGGCTGTGGTTTATTTACAGGTGCACTTCATTGTCCGGCAAGTACTGTATATTTGATTACATCTTTTTCAGACAGAAAGGTGAAAAACAGAGGACTCCCTCGCTCTGCCAATCAGGTCTCATCCCAAAACATCAAATAGTGACTGACAGGGAAAATAACATCAATAATATGAAGCTTAAAGAAGACTTGTTACCATGAGATGACTCTACAATCTTCTTCCGCTCTTCCACAGAGGCCTGTTTCCTCCATAATGAGGGGTACCTCTTATATATAGAACCTCTGAACATGCGCAAGTAGTTTCCCACCTGCACAAACAAGAAACATTTATTTTATTTTTTAACTATATATGTTACTTTTGAAAATTCCAACATGCGACAAAAATCTATGGGGGTTTGTGTGTTTGCAAAGATGATTAACATTGGAGCAAACCGATTATCGTGCACATGTTATTTCACATTGGTCAGGACAATGACAATCAAACAAACAGTTGCCAGAACCTTTAGGACTCAGTGTTTACGCCTTTATTTTCCATCAATATTTATGCTTTAAAAGTGTACAATTGATTGCACATAAACTTGAAATACAAAAAAATAAAAAATAAAGTTCCCAGCCCAAACTTACATTCACACAGTAATAGACCATCCCTGCATCAAGTTCAAATGGATATTAATAATTTAATATTATATTAGAATAATCATAACTGTGGCACCACCAGCATAAGCCATCAGACCTCCGAAGAGCCTGGCTAGTAGTGTGATGGGAGACCGTGCCACAGCAGGGCGACTGTAGTGCTACACATTGTGTGACAGGAGTTAATATTATAATAATAATGCATTGGTTTTATACAGCGCTTTTCAGGACACTCAAAGACGCTTTACATGTCATTATTCATTCACTCCATACACGGTGGTGATAAACTACTACAGTAGCCACAGCTGCCCTGGGGCACACTGACAGAAGCGAGGCAACCAGTATGTGCCAACACCAGACTCATTCTAGGCAATGGGGGTAAAGTGTGTGGTAATTAGATAGCTATAAAGTGATCTGGCCTTAGGACAACAACCCGATTGTGTATCTGCTATGATTGTGTGTCCATGTTCTGTTCTTTCGATGTCTTGTTATGTTCTGATTGTTCTCTTGATATGACACGAATGCTTATCCATGTATGACGTATGTGTGACGTAAACATTGACTATATAAACCATATCCTAAATATGTTCTGTCTGAAAAAACTGACCAAACTGAATGAATAAACAACCACGCCACGATGCACAGGATTCCGTTTGGTCTGAGTCTGATTTTCCACAGGTGGTGGAGAATGTGTGGCGCTTAAAGTGCATCTGGCGTTGGATGTTTTGAGAATGGTTTTTTCAGCGTGTGGGAGCAACAACACATTAACTCGAAGCGGACGCTGAGAGGGCTCCCTCACTTTCTAACAGTTTTGTGTTTAAATTGAATTTTTCCACAATTTTCTTGGGGCTGATTTTCCACAAGTGTCTTGCCTAAGGACACAACAGCAGTTTGGCACTTTACAGCCGCAGCCGCCCCACTGTGGCATCAGGTGTTCCTAAAGGTTAAGTGTCTTTGCCAAGGACACAACGACAGCAGACAGTGGGAGACGATGGTGAAAGCCGGGCTCAAACCCACGACCCTCTGGCTTAAAGGACAACGCTCTACCAACTGAGCTACTGTCGCCCTAAAGTTGTGTCCTTTGGCAAGACACTTCACCTACATTGCCTAGAATGAGTCTGGTGTGTTTGTGAATGGTTGGTGGTGGTCAGAGGGGCTGATAGAATATCCTGGTTGCCTCGATGAGGTCAGTGTTCCCCAGGGCAGCTGTGGCTACAGTAGTTATGTAGTAGTTAGTGAGAATAGAGTGAATTAGAAATTACTTGTGAACCGTCTTTGAGTATCCAAAAAGTGCAATATAAATTCTGTACCTTATTAAAAATTCTATTAAAAAAACTAGAGTAACAATGGAAACAGAAAATACCATCAAAAGCTATTATTTCTACAAAAATGTCAGCTAATAGGATGTGCTGGTTTGAGCGTCAATCTGAGCCAATTTCTTACATATAAAATACATTATTTTATTTGTATATTTTCTAATTATACCGTCATCAGAGAGATGTAATCGTTAGTCATTATTATTCACAATGCACAAAAATCTATAAACAGATTCCAATGAAACACACGTAGCATCTGAGAATACAACACTTTACTGCCTCGTATCAAACATCGCACTGAAATGATAAACAACCCTTTTCGAGACCATTTTCTACAAAATCTCATGATTGCAAATATTTTCTGTTAGCATGTTAGCTCGCCCTGCTAGCTCACAGAACACTGCACATGGGTGACGTAAACCCACGCGCGTCTGAAAACAACATGGTCCACGTCACACACAAACCTCCGAGCCGATCATGTAATAATCCCCATCGTCTTCCAGCAGGAATTTCACCGGCTTTTGCCCAAAGGTCTTACTGAGCGCCATGCTAGCACCGGAATAACAAAGCTCCGCGAGTCCCACGGCTGTGTCCCTCGTCGGCGCCTGTAGCAAAATCAAAACACGGAAGTAATTGAACCAATCGAGAAAAGAGGAAAATGAATCGGTGAAAGACAGTCTTTGTTTTACGGTTGTAGCGAGACAATCTGAAGAAGTGTTCGTGGTGGTAGTTCGGCAGAATTACCTGTGATACGAGCCTATGAAATACATTGATGAGTTCGGAGAAGGAGATGGTTCAAAGTGTGTTTCGATCCTCTGGACTGTGGGTACGAGCTGGGCACACTATTTTGACCTGGTCCATCACCCTGATTTTGTTCTTACACAACACTGGTGAGAGTTTATTTATTTAATGAGAGATTTGATTGAAATCATTACTTACACATAACTTTCAAACCACAAATCATTGCATTACACTAGTATAAAACATTTTGGTTCTATCATCTTATCACGATTACTAGATATAGTTTCCACATAAATATTTATTACAAATAAGCAAAATACAACATGTTTGATGGGAAAATAAGTGCAGTGGATTCCTTGAGTCTATGCTTCTGCTGCATTAGCGTTTGAAAGAGGACAGAAAAAATCTCTACAACTTTTCCTGGGGCCAAAATGAAGATGACTTTGCGTTTACCCTGAAACCACAACTACTTTCTTGACAGTTAAAATAGTGTATTATAAGACAAGACCGCTCCAGGTTTGGTCAAGTGGCATTTGACCAAAGCCCCCTCGGACCCCACCGCACTCCCCCGCCTCCTGCTCACCAGCACCGGGTGAGTACAACGGTGCAAACACTGCTCCCTGTCCGTCTGGCAGTGCATTACCAGTCCAAACACTGAACTGTGCTGACTCCCTTCTGACTCTGGGAGCTAAAGAACAACAAGGGTTTTCACATTTTAGGCCAATTGAGACTGTGTGTGTTCCTCGCACCAGCTCAAAAATGTTTTTAAATTCTAAAAAACGAAATCAAAACAGGACAGCAGTTAGACGGTCCAACTCTGCAAATCTAATTTCTGTTCCCTGTAGAAATCAATCAACCACATTAATCGACTCTGACGTTATTTTTAAACTTGCTATGCTTAATGTCAGATCTCTATGTAACAAATCATTTTTAATTAATAATTTTATCACTTCTTATGATCTTGATTTTATGCTTATGGCTGAAACATGGCTGGACCAAAATACAGGAAATGCAGTTCTAATAGAAGCAACACCACCCAATTTTAAATTCGAATCCGAAATACGAGAAAACAAAAGGGGGGGAGGCATAGCTGCAGTTTTTAGAGAGCACTTTGTCTCCCATAGAATGCCCCTTGGAAATTTTTCATCGTTTGAGTATATTTCTTTTAAAATGGAACAAAAGCAATCTTCTACTCTTTTCATTGTCCTGTACAGGCCACCACAGTCATGTTGCGATTTTATTGACCATTTTACTGAACTACTTTCATTCGTGTGCACAGATTTTGATAGTTTAGTTATTACAGGTGATTTTAATGTACATGTTGATAATGTTGATGACAGAAATGCAAAGGAGCTGGCTTCTGTATTTGAGACCTTTGGTTTCATTCAGCACGTGAGTGGCCCCACCCACAGCAGGGGGCACACTCTTGACCTGCTAATTACAAAGGGGGTTAATGTATCAAATGTTAATGTAGTTGATGTTGCTTTGTCAGATCATTTCTGTGTATTTTTTGACATGTGTTTTGCTAGCAAACCACCAGCTGAATTTACAATTGTCAGAAGAAGACACATACATGAAAACACAAGTGAACTGTTCATGGGAATGCTAAATTTTGAGAAAACTCCATGCTCTACTGTTGATGAATTGTATAACTCTGTCACCACCAGTGTTCTGACTGTTCTGGACGCCATTGCTCCTGTGACGGTTAAAATAGTTACCAGTAAGAAAAAGGCCCCATGGACTAAGGCAGACTCGGTTAGGGCACAGAAGCAAGAGTGCCGGAGGGCCGAACGGAAGTGGCGAAAGTCCAATTTCCAGGGCGATTATGAAATCTTTAAAGATGAGTTGGGTGAATTTAACCGGGTTCTACGTAGAACAAGAGAAATGTATTTTTCTGACATTATTGGAGGTTGCAGTAACAATTTTCGTGTTATGTTTTCAACAGTTGCCCCTAGAATTTTCCTCTAAATCTAGGTGTAATGAGTTCGCACAGTTTTTCGATGACAAAGTACAAGGAATCAAAAACACTATCACCTCCACAGCACGTATAACAATGCAACAGCCAGAGAAGCTTTTTGAGCTAACTCACTTTGCACCTGTGGATACTGAAACTGTCAAAAAGATAATCATGAGTCTGAGCTCCTCCACATGTAGCCTGGATATATTGCCCTCTAAATTTCTGAAGTCCGTCCTGAGCAGTTTGTTACCTTCACTGACACAAATAGTAAACATGTCTCTGTCGTCAGGAACATTTCCTATGGCCCTAAAAACAGCAGTCATAAGACCTCTCCTGAAAAAGAGCAGTCTGGATCCTGCGGGACTTCAAAATTATCGCCCCATATCGAATCTGCCATTCATTGGAAAAATTCTTGAAAAAGTGGCCTCCCAACAACTTACTGAATTTTTAACAATGAATAATTCTTTTGATATGTTCCAGTCTGGGTTTAGACCCCACCACAGCACTGAGACCGCTCTAGTGAAGGTAACAAACGACATTCGACTTCACACTGATGCAGGTAAAGTCACAGTTTTGGTCATGTTAGATCTTAGTGCCGCGTTCGACACTGTCGACCATGAGATTGTTGTATATTTTAATATTTGACCATTTGAACATCATAGCCAGAAAGACCTCTGTGCACTCAGGAAAAACCCCAAGGACACAGGATAATCAGACATGAGTCATAAAGATAAAATGCTGTTTAAACAGGGCGAATTATTAACTTTAAATAATAAACATTTTGACGAGGACAATCTTGAGGCAGACTGGGAGATTCACCAACTGCATTCTGACGCCTCCCAGTGGATAGGGGACGTCAGCACACCCGGAAACCTCCACCCTTGGACGCATAAGGATGACGTCATCGGAAGTCTCCCTCATGAGCCCGTGTGTGTGTGTTTTTTGAGGTCAGACAGGACAGGGCACGGACAGGGAAAGACCAGGCAGAGAATAGGAGCACTTTTGTTGAACATTCTGTATCTGATTGTAAAGATAATTAAATGCAGATGTTAAACTTGAATATCGTTTGCCTTACTTCTGCAACCATTTTGAAACACGTTAGTCAAAGGGAATTATTGACTACATTTGGTGACCCGAGACGTGATGGTGCAGAAGAAAGACAGAGATGAGCTCAAATATAGACTGGGTCCGTGGGCCGGGAGAATTCTCTCTTCTCTTCGAAAGAGGTAAGCGGATCGTTACTTTTGAAAATCTGCACATTGTTTTAAATGGAAGAGAGAGAGAGAATTCGGCTCGACGGACTGCAGCGTGGCCAGGCGACCGCCGTGACGGGGCGTTCTATCGGACGCGATAGAACAATAGTCAGGTTTAGACGTTTTAACCTTGGGGGAAGCATTGGTCCCTCCTTAAAAAACAGAACAGATGATGAAAAGAGCCACAGGGGTATAAGTGCAAAAGAGGCACAACTGTTTAGATAAATAGGATTAGAGAGATAGGGATAGTTAGGGTCAGAAGTTATAGGATAATAAAAACTCCATATCCCCCGGGGGCGGGGAAAAGGGCACAATTAATTTAAACAGAAGAAAAGCCAAGTATTTAAAATGTGGATTCTGATAATAATGATCTGATTAATGAGGAAAAAGAGAGCCTCTTGGCTGTAGTATACGAGTTTCATGTGAAGAAATGATCAGTTATGGAAGTTTTTCTCTTATTCTGATGTAATGTTTAATAGTCACAGAGAATCAAAAAAAAAAAAAAAAAGAGATTCTGCTGGGACTATTACTCATGTAAGCAAATAGTAATGTTTTCCATTACTGACGTATTTAAGGATAAAATGTAAAGTGTCGTTTGACGTGAGAAAAACTTTTACCACTGATTTAGAACCTTGTCACGAGAAAAACGAGGAAAGTATTTGACTCCATGCTTCCTTTGTTCGGGAGGCCCCTCCCCTCCCTCGTTCTGTCCTCTCTCTCTCCCCTTCCTTCCTCTCTCTCTCTCTCTCTCTCGTGAAGAAAGAATTTTTTGTAGAAAATTACATTTATACACACGATAATGTTACTGACATGGAGTCATAGGATCACAGAACTTTGAGTTAGATTATAAAGAGGCATTATTTTATTTTTTATCTCCAAGGCGTCTAGACAAGTTTTTTTTCCCTACATTTTGGTGATATAAAAGTTAGAATGATCTTAGAGAGCACTATACTTTTGGAAAAATAGGGCTTAGGATAGTAGTTGAATGCAGATTTGGTTTTCAGAATTTAATGTTTAAAATGTTAATAGTAATTATTTCATAGGTTTATTTTGAATTGTAATTAATCATTGGTTTGGTATGGTAATTAACACACTTGTTTGTGTTTCTTGTTTGTCTGTTTTTTCCGAGAAAACTTCTGTCTGTTTCATTTGGCCAAAAATCGTCTCTGCCACAAACCACCATTAGCGTCTCCCCCAGACCCACAGGGGGCACCAAAGACTGCAGCATCGGCTGCAGCAGCTAACAGGAACTCTCGAAGAAGACTCCTCCTGCCTGTGAGGAGGCAAAGAAAAGACCGCAGACTTTTTCACAAACTGAGTGTTGTCCCATCCACGAAACAGAAGGTGGCGGTAATGCGAAGAATAGGCCGCCAACCGCCGGAAAACCAAACAAGAAGAAGAAGGACACGACACATTTGGGTGCGTCAGATATGAAAGAAGAAGAAAGACATTATGAGGAAAAGTTATCGGAAGAAGAAAGAAAGTGATTGTTGAAAGAAGAAGAAAAAAGACATGGAGACAAAGACATTGGACACTATGAGACAAAAGACATTGAAAGACGCCATGAGTAAAAGAAAGAAATTAACGGACATTTGAGACGTGGCTGGCCTAAATGAGACACACAGAAGGTAAATATACAGACAGGCAACAAACGCACAGAGACATATTAAGACATATTTACACATTTAGCTAGGTCATTCGTTCATAACACCACATTTAGCTGCATGAAAGAATACAGGACAATCGTTAAAATTAATTAGACTCTTGCTTTAGCATGAGACACAAGGAGATTAGAACAGCAGTATATTTAAAGTAGAGGAGCTCTATTATTGAAACTAGTATTATTATTTAAAGTTATAGACGCGGAGAAGTTTAGAATTATTGATTTTAACTGCATGATCTTGGTAATACGGATATTTAAAGCAGTGTTTTCAACCTC